GCGTGACTAAGCCTTTCCCCATCTCCAAGAAGTGCTGTGAAGACAGATGAGGTAATGCAGTGCCTCGGTACCACCATCAATATTAAACCAGCTTTACATAAGGAGCTCGGCTGCCGTGGGCAGCTCCCCAGGGAGGCTTTGAGCTCCCTCACAGCCTGGTTTATCCCCCCCTCCCCACGCCACGCACGGCAAATGGGATCAAACCCAAGGCAAGCACAGCAAGAGGGGTGCTCCTCAGGGATGCTGCTGAGCAGCCTCGCTGCAGCAGGGCCAGAGCAGGGAGCAGACACAGCACCAGAGCCTGCTGACCCACTTCACTGACGGGATATTTATGGATCCCTTTTTCCTTGCTGCTCCCCATGTCCCCCCCTCTTCCTCCTGGATTAAACGCTTCCCTCTTCAACAAACCCTTTCCATCTCGACGTGGAGAGTGTCAGATGCCAGAGTCTCTTTAAAGGCAGCGCACAGAGGGAGATTTGCCAGCAAGCCCCCATGGCTACATCCATCCTATGGCTGCTCCCAGTGACCAGACTGCATCCATCCCCACACGGAGCACATCCAGCCTCACAGGACCCTGCCCCTCGCTCCCTGCGCCGCCGGGATCTTCACCTCTCTCTGCGTGATGCAGCAGTCCAGAGCCTGGGTTATTCCCGGTACCAAGGTGGGATGTGGGAGCAGGATGGGTCCTGTAGCTTTGCCTTACATCTGCAAAGGGAATGGCTGTGGGATGCAGGCCCTGACCGCCACGATGGGGCAGCAACTGCACAGAGATGGGGCAAAGTCCCAGCTTACAACCCAGGTTCCAGCGTCCCCTCCAGAGGCTGCCCTGCCACGCTCCTGCATGGGTGACACAGCAGCTTGGGGTCCCACAAGCAGCCCCGGTGCACTCCCCACCAGCATGAGCCCAGAGAAAGGCAAAACCATCTTCTTCTCCACCACGACCTCTGCAGACGATCACATCCGAGCCGAGCGAGCTTGTCCTGACCCCTCTCTGAGAGATGGAGGTGACATTGACAGCATCACTAGGGCTGGAAGGGACCTCATCCAGTCCAACCCCCAGTGCAGGTGCACCGTACTCTGCCGGGGGCTCTATTCAGTTCTTTGGGGAACCCAAAGCGCAGCTCTACCCTGTGCACAGCCACGTGCATGGCAAAACCATGCTCCTCCCCTCCGTTCTCCTCTCTTCTCCCCCTTACGTGCCAATAAAGCCATCAGGCCCAGGAGAAGTGGGGAACCGCTCTGCATCCCGCAGCACTGAGGGCGGCGGGGCGTGCTGCTGCCTCACCTGCCATCAGCAGCACCAGCGAGCTCCTGCTGCACCAGCTCCTGCCAGGCCACCTCGTGGGTGCAAACCCAGCCACTTCCCTGCAGCACCAGGGCGCTCGCAGCTCCCTGCCCACAGCCCTGGCAAACACACGCAGGCTGCTGCCAAGAGCACTCCTTCCCTCCTCCGTCAGCATCCATCACCCAAAGGGGCAGCGCATCACCCGCACCCCACACCGCGCTGGTACGCACAGCACAAACCCCCTTCCCGTGCTCTGGCTCCCGAAACACGGCAGAAATGAGCATGGAGTTGCCAAAACAACATTGGGAAACAGAAGATCTTTGTCTCACACTCTCCACTGGGGCCCATCACACGCTCTGACTCATGTCTATAGGGGTGGGCACTGAGCTGTACCCAGCCAAAGGCTGGACAAGCTGCCTGGTCCCCCCCCATCAAGTGCCAGCAGCCCTCGTGGTGCAGCTGAACCTGCTCCAATCTCCACCACAGCTTCCAGAACGAGAGAGAAGCCGGTGATGCTCTGCTGCGGTCGGGATGGAAACGGCCTCCTGCTGCAAAGCAAATCCCAGCTCCTCCGGGTCGTAGCACGGCTCCCGAAGGGGACAGTCACAGCTCAGATGGCTCCAGAGCCCCTCACTTGGCTGTGCTGGCCCAGCTTCCAGCCTGGGTTGGAGCCCCACATCAGGCACAATCAGACCCTGATTTCCCACTTCCTAGTTCCATATTTTGTAGCGGAACAAGCCTGTAGCGTTACCCATCAAAAACGACGGGCTGTTAAAACATGAAATCTCCAAAGCAGACGTTTAAGGGAACAAAGGCGAGGATTTTCAGCCACGATGACTGTTTTCCATGGCAACTCTTCCACAGGACGCTGCATGGAAGCACTGGAGCAGTTTCCAACAGGGAGTGCTTCAGGAGTGATGCAGTGGGAGATGCCCAGCCAGCAACGTGAACCACAGAGCCTTAACCCACCAGCGTGGCATCTCACAGGCAGGTATGGGCACGCGCCTGGGTGCATCCCGCATCCCAGACCACTGTGCCACCCTGCATCCTGCCCTGGACACTGCACGTCTTGGCTGTTTGCATTGCAAACCCATTTGCTTTGTTTCTTTATAGCACATTTCCAGCCCTCCCAGAGCCAGCAATTCAATGCCACCGACGCTGGGGCGCTGGGGACAAGTTGCTGCATCAAAAGGTGGCCCATCCCTTCCTGGGGACAGGCTGGCACCTCCTGTGCCATCAGAAGAGAGGCCACCAGAGCCCAAAAGCCCCACAAGAAGCTGGCCCAGCAGCCTCCTGCAGCAGCTCTGCTATTGCAAAGGGAGCTGTCACCCTTCCAACCACAGCTTCAGAGCTCAGCATCGGTGACATCTCCTCCTCCACCACTTGGAGGTGTTCCAGGAGGGAGCAGATGAGCAATTCCCAAGCACATCCACCACGGGACCATGGCTCAGGTCTCTGCTCAGCAATGGCTCAGTGGTGCCCTCCCTGGAATAACACAGTGGCTGGGTCAGCAAGTGTTCCCTGCCTCCTTTCTGCCTCCTGGAGAGGGATGAACAGCTCATCCCTTCCCACCAGAGCCTGCCAGGACTTGGGAATTGCCTTAGGCAAGGGAGCAGATGCTTCAGGTTGGGATGCTGCTCCCCAGGCAGCTGGTACCCACATGCAGAAGGCTGATTCTAACAGCTCTCTGCTTGTAGGGCCTGTTCCTGACAGTCAGTGGCTCCTGTATCTCAAATTCAGCATCCACAAGTGAAGATGATGCGGGTTGTATTTGAGACGGTGAAACGGCCCCAACCACTGCAGGAAACAGCAGCGAATCCAGCATCCCTCTTCAGCTCCATCCTAAACCCATCCCTCGGGATCGATGGCAGGATTGCACCAGGCTTTGGCGGCATCACCCTCCTTTGTGGCTCTGCTGTGGTCAGCAAATGCCTATAGAGACAGTTCTGGATCTCTCGGTCCCCAGCTCCACGGGCACCAACCTGAGAACAGAGGGGCCCACGCAGCGCCAGGCAGTGACATTCCCGGGATGCTCCTGGCACGCTCTGGGATGAAGCCCATCACTCACCTTGTGCGGCAGAGCCAGAGCGCAATCCCTGCCTGCACAGAGCTGGGAAGCACCTGGGAGAGGATGGATGGGGCTCAGCCAGCCCGGAAACGCTCACTCAGGAGAGCTCCATCCCTCCCCTCTCCTACCCCCATGCGGAACCAAGGATGGGGAGAGCCTGCCAGGGTGCACACAGGCCCCGGCCTCTGCAGCCTGCCAGGGAAGGGATGGATGCACAGGGAGGGATATCCGCATTTAGGGGAATTCTGGGTTCCTTCCCCCATCCCACCACGTTATCCCGGTGCCAGGGGCTGGTGCTGGGCGCCGCGGCTGAGGAAAGATGGGAAACGCTGAAGGTCAAACCTGTGAAGGTCAAACTTGGCGGAGGTCAGTGCCGAGACGGAGCAGGGAGCTGGATCCAGGCTGCTGCATCCTCCCTCTCCCGGCAGCATCCTGCCCAAGCCCCACCCAGGAAAACGGGGCTGCAATGGGAGCGCTTCCTCCTCCCCGCCCCGATGCCAAAGCCTGGCCAGGCTGGGCAAGATCCAGGCGTAAAGATCCTCTTTTTCCCCCCTAAATCCCATCAGAAGCTGCCGGATGATCAGGGAGCTAAACAGGAGCAAGGACCAAAGCAACAGGTCGCTGCAAAGGGACACGGATAGAACAGAGCAGCGGGGACGCGAGGCTGAAAAAGCCAAGACATCCCCCATGCGTTCCATCCCTGGAAGCACACAGCCCCGGTACCCTCCTCCCTGCCGCTCATTCAGTGCGATACTCTCCCCATAGCCCAGCATAGGCACTGTTCCCGCTGTCATCGCTCTATTTCAGTCTATTTTGGGGGCAGGTTTCCCTTTGTGAGCTCTTTTCCAGCCCCAGCGGCTTTGACATCAAAGGAGACCCCTTTAATATCAAAGCTACCAGAGCCATCCCCACCTCCTTCCCTTGGGAAGATGATTCACAGGATGCTCTTCGCTCCTACCCGTGTTTGCCTCCTGCCTCGGCACCCCCAGCACTGAGAGACGCTGAACCCCTCCAAGCAGAGCACAAAGCGTGCAGAAGGAAGAGGAAACGCGCTGGAAACCGGATCAAACCCCGCCGGGGAGGGCTCAGGCTCCTGCCGAGGCTGGAGGCCGGCGGGGATGCTGCCGCTTCCCCTCCTTCCTGCCGGCAGCCCCGCTTCCGGCGCATGGCTCCGCTTCTCCGCGCTTGGACGAGCCCGGCCGCAGGCTCGGAGCCCCGCGGCCAGCCCGGTGCTGCTGCCGGCCCCTCCGGGAGCAGCGGGATCAGGCCGGTGCAGCCGCGGGCATCGCAGGTACGCGGAAGCGCAGGGAGCTGCCCGTGCGGAACCGCCTTTGCCTGACCTTCAGGGGGCTGGAACGGGAAGGGAGGTGCTGGGGGCCGGCCGGCCGCACGCGTGTGGGGTGAAAGCAGCCCTCTGGAACAGGGGCAGCGGTGTGGGTTCGTGGTGCTGAGCCCTGGACCTCCATCCCAGGCTGCTGCGAGCAGGGGGACACTCACCTTGAGTGATGGGGGGGGGGGGTCTCTGTTGCGCGCCGTCACCCACAGGAGGAACGCAGCACCCATAGATGGGGACCCCGGCGCTCTGCCCCCCACACACACCCTGGGTGCTGCTGATGGGGAGGAAAGCAGGAAAGCAGCAGCTCTTACCTTGTGTCCTGCAGTCACACCTTGGGAGCTGGCTCTTGCGCAGAGAGGAGGGAGGGAGAAGGCAGAGGAAGGGGGGAAACTTGGGAGTTTCCCACAATGCACCTCTGCAGACTGCATGAAGATGGAGAGCAAGGGGGGGGGGGGCACCAAGTGCTCCAATCCGGAGGGAAGGGCAGGGATTTGGGGGGGGGGGGTGGTTGGGGCTGTCCAGCTGCATCTGCACATCTCCTGTGGCCCGGGGCTGAGCTGGGGTTTGCTGGCTCTGCAGTTCAGGGCTGCCCCTGCAGCACTGGGTCCCTGCCTGCACCCCTCACTGGCTCCTCTAAAGCCAGCCTGGGGCTGCAGTGAATAAAAATAGGAGGACACACACTGGGGGACATGGGAGGGGAAGAGCCTGGTAAACTGGGATACTTGTGTGTGGACAACACAGGGGTATGGGGCTCCCCCCAGCAATGCAAGGGGGTTCCAAGCGTGGCAGTGCCCGGCAGTGAGTTAAGGGCTGACAAATCCCTCTTCCCAAGGAGCAGTTGGCTGACAGCAAAGAGCCCTCCCTGTCACAGCCTCAGCTCCTCCAGCCAGGCCGGGTCTCCAATTCACATCACTCGGCTCTAATCTTGCTCTTACCCCAGACTGCAGCCAGGTCCTGGGACTGTCTGTAGATGTTGGAGGCCTGGTTTCCTGAGCGCTCTCATGCTTGTCCTCCTCCATACGGTTACTTGGACCCGCTGCCCAGCTCCATGTGCCTGTGTAGAAACCATGGATGTCTTAAGGAGGTTATACCCAGCAAGCCGTGAGAAACCAACTTTTGGAGCTCAGCTGCTTGCAGAGTAACTCACTCAGCCTTCCAGTGCCTAAAGGGGCTGCAGGGAACCTGGAGAAGGGCTTGGGACAAGGGCCTGTAGGGCCAGGCCAAGGGGAATGGCTTGAACCTGCCCGAGGGGAGACTGAGCTGAGCTCTGAGGCAGAAGCTCTTCCCTGGGAGGGTGCTGAGGCGCTGGCACAGGGTGCCCAGAGAAGCTGTGGCTGCCCCATCCCTGGCAGTGCTCAAGGGCAGGTTGGACACAGGGGCTTGGACCTAAGGGTCCCTGCCTGTAGCAGGGCTTGGAGCTGGGTGATCGGTGTATCTGCCCGCAGGAGCCAGGCCCGGGTGCATCCCAGCTGTGCCAATGTGCATTAGGAGCACCCAGGCTGCTTAAACCCCTCTGTCAGTTAAAAACCTGCTTGAAGGGAGCTGCAGAAAACAAAGGGGCCCCGTGCCAGGACCCAGCTCTGCCGGGAGCGATGCAGCTCCCGGCGCTGCTCAGAGCGGGGATGCACAAGGTGATCTTGATGCAGTCCTTGGCTCGGAGGAGCTGGCACAGGCAGGACTGGCTGTGGCTGATGCTGATGTCCCTTCTGCTGCCTGGCTGGTCCCACGCCGGCAGCACCAGCCCTCCCCACTGCTTTAGGGACTTGTGCCAGGCTCAGCCAAGAGCATCGTGTGCTTCCCCTTCCTAACATCCCCCAGACCTGCTGCGAGCGGCAGACAGGGGCTTATTTCTGGAAAGCTTATGGAAATCTGGGGTTTAACACAGGAGAAAGCCCCAAATTCCTGCTCCCAGCACTCACAACCCCCTTTTACCGCTTCTACATCAGCGCAGAAACACCCTTGGCCACACAGCAGGAGGACGGGGAAGTGGGAATTGGCAGCTCCAGGGCTCAGGGCCAGGATGTGCTGAGGCTGGGGGCTGTGTGGGGCTGGCTGCCTCAGCCCTAGGGGTAACCAGCCCCACACAATGCACTCCCAGCCTCAGGCTTCTGGAGTGGGCTCAGATTCTGAGTTTCAGAAGCATTTTGACCGGTGTAGACAAAAGGGAAGTAAAGGAAATGAGCTGTAAAACCAATGGCCTGCCCCCTGCACACTGCAGAGGGAAGGGGGAGTGGGGAAGCAGCACCCAGAAACCCCCTGGCACTGAGCACAGGATGCATCCCCTGCAGCAAGTAGGTCGCATCCCCTAAGGCAGCACAGGGGAGCAAGCAGCAGCTGGGACAGGGACCCAGGCAGGGGCAAGCAGCTCCTCCATGGTCAGATGGAGAGTGGAGGGCTGGTGGAGCTCTCCGGTACCCCAGGCTGGGTTACAGAGGGGAGGATACAGCCCCGGCTCTGGGACCCCCCCCCCGTTGCTGGTGGGGCCGGATGGCAGCAGCATCCCAGGGAAGGAGCAGGCTGTGCCCTATGCTTCCAAGAGGAGCAGTTGCTCCCACAGAGCAGCACCATCAGCAAGCACCGGCCAAGGCGCTGTCAATCAGAGGTGCGTTTTTCCTCCTCCCTCAGATCCCCTTCAAGCATCCTTTCCCTTCATTCCTCAAGGGAGCTTTGCTGGACGCATCCCCCTGGAGCACTCCGGTCCCATCACGCCCGGATGGAAGCTGTAGCTTCAGCTACAGAACCCCCACGTGCTCCAGCCCCGGTTCCCCGTTCCCTGCCTCCTCCACAGGGTGGGCTATGGAATGGGTCGGGTCGGAAGGGACCCTCAAGCTCCTCCAGTTCCAAGCTGGACGTGGGGTTGGGTTGAGAAGCAAAACCCCAGGGGGATTTGAGCAGCACCTTCCACCATCCTCGGTGTCCCCAGGGCCGGGGGGACCCTGCCTGGAGTGCTCCCCCCATGGGTACAGACCCCAGGATGAGGTTTGGGTCCTTTGGTCCTTCTCCCGTTGCTGTGCTCAGGTGACACCCGGTGATGGCAGAGGAAGAGCCGGCGGTGCCCGGCCTCCTGCAAGCGCTGCAGGGGCTCCCGCTGAAAGGCTTCCAGGAGTTCAAGACGAAGCTGTCGGAGGTTCAGGTGGAAGGAGGCTGGAAAATCCCCGAGGATTCGCTGGCAAGAGCCTCCCACCCCTGGGCGCTGCTCCACTGCATGGGCGAGAGCTACAGCGAGGACGTGGCGATGGAGGTGGCCATCGGGGTGCTCAGGGAGATGAACCTGGGAGACCTCGCTGAGGAGCTGCTGGGGGAGGTGGTGAAAGGTGAGAAACCAGCGTTCAGCTTTCGTCAGGGAGCCAGGGGATGGCGTGGGGTGAAGGGGGCTTAAAGCTCACCCAGCTCCAGCCCCAACCGCTTCCACTGGAGCAGCTTGCTCCAAGCCCCTGTGCCTTGAGCACTGCCAGGGATGGGGCAGCCACAGCTTCTCTGGGCACCCTGTGCCAGCGCCTCAGCACCCTCCCAGGGAAGAGCTTCTGCCTAAGAGCTCAGCTCAGTCTCCCCTCGGGCAGGTTCAAGCCATTCCCCTTGGCCTGTCCCTACATCCCTTGTCCCAAGCCCCTCTCCAGGTTTCCTGCAGCCCCCGGAGGCACTGGGAGCCCTGGGTCACTTTTTGCCTTTGGGTGATGCTGGTAACGCTTTGGAGCTGGAGGCATCCCCAGGAGCACGAGCAGAGGGGACCCCAGGCCCTTGAATTTGCTCCCAGGTGGATGAGGATTGCAGGGTTGATGGATCAGGCTGATGGAAGAACCCCCCCCCCCCCCCAAGTGACCAAAGGCCCTAAATGCTGGCTGCCAACATCCTTATTGCCTCTGCCAGGCTTAAAGCCCTGAGCACTGAAATACCCATCCCATTGGTGCTGCTGGTGAGGAGCTCCTTGGGCACCTGGTTGTGCTTGGGCCTGATTCTGCTCCTCACTGGCACAGAGCACAAGCAGAAGTACAAGGAGCACGTTGTCCAGGGGTTCCTCCGGTACAAAGAGGTGAACTCACGTCCTGGGGAGAGCCGGTCCGTCCGGAGCCACTTCACCCCCCTGGCCATCACCAGGAAGCCTCGGAGCAAGCGTGAAGCCGCGGCCACGAGCCATGGATGCGCTGACACCAGCAGTGGGCCAGCCACCATCTCCACGCTGTTTAACCCCGGTGCAGACGGGCAAAGCCCGCAGGTCGTGGTGCTGGTGGGAGCCCCAGGGATGGGCAAGACGATGGCAGTGAGGAAGGTGATGGTGGAATGGGGGGAAGGCATCATCTACACGCAGTTTGACTACGTCTTCTGCATCGACTGCAAAGACACGGCCCTTCCCAAGGAGGCCAGCGTGGCGGAGCTGGTGTCCAAGTGCTGCCCTCACCGCAGGGTGCCGGTTGGGAAGATCCTGGAGGACCACAAGAGGATCCTGTTCATTCTTGATGGCTTCGAGGCCCTGGGATTTGCCTTGGTTCAGCCTGAACTGGAGCTGAGCTCTGACCCCAGCGCAGTGAAGCCGCTGGAAGCCACCCTGATGGGCTTGCTGAAGAAGACTCTTCTCCCCGAGTCCTCCTTGCTCATCACCACGAGGCCGATGGCTCTTCAGAGCCTGGGGCAGTGCCTGGAGGGGGAGGATTACGTGGAAATAGTGGGATTTTCCGGAGCCGCAAGGGAGGAATACTTCCACAGGTACTTTGGGAACGACCACGAAGCGGACATGGCCTTTGGGTTTGCCAGGGCCAACGAGATCCTTTACAGCTTGTGTAGCATCCCCGTCATGAGCTGGACCGTCTGCAGCATCCTGCAGCAGGAGCTTCGCAAGGGGAAGGACCTCACGGAGTGCTCCAAAGCCACCGCGTGGATGGGTGTGCTTTACCTCTCCTGGTTAGCGAAGCACAGAGGCAGGGGCAGCCCGCAGGACCTCCACCCCTTCCTCCTCCAGCTCTGCTCCTTGGCTGCTGATGGCATCTGGAAGCACAAAGTGCTCTTTGAGGAGAAGGCAATCAAGGACCGAGGCTTGGACCAGCCAGACCTTCTCCCCCTCTTCCTCAATGAGAAGATCCCAGGGGAAGGAGTGGAGCATGGCAACAGCTACGGCTTCACCCACCTGCACCTCCAGGAGTTCTTTGCAGCGATGTTCTATGTTCTGGAGGGCAACGTGGAGGTGCTTGGTGACTCGAGGGATACCGCAGACATCAAGGTGTTGCTAGAGAGCTACAGCGAGTCCAGGGAGGACCTGAACGTAACGGTGAGGTTCCTGTTTGGTTTGGCGAGCCGAGAATGCAGAGAGCACATGGACAACACCCTCGGGTGCAGAAGCTCACCGCGAGCCAAGGAGGAGCTGCTGAGCTGGCTGCAGGGGAGGCACAGGGGCACCTCCCAGCCTGGCCCCGGGATGAAGCTGTCCCGGTTGGACACGTTCCACTTCTTGTTTGAGATGAACGACGAGAGCGTCGCACGAAGGGCCTTGGGTGCCTTCAGTGCCATGGAGCTGCAGGACACGAAGCTGACCCTGTACGACCAAATGGCTCTTTCCTTCTGCATCAGGCAGTGGCCTGGGCTGGGCTCTGTCACCCTCCGGGGATGCTCCTTCCACCAACAGGACCCCAAGTCCGAGGCGGCAGCATCGGTGCCCTGGTAAGTACTGCTCTGGAGACCCCAAATCCCAGAGATTCCTCCTTTCCCACCCCAAGGCACTTGAGCTCCTTGCACTCAAACACCTCGTCCTTTCCTGGGGTTCAGCTCCTCCCACCAAAATTCATCCTTTCATGGATGAGTTAGGGTTGGAAGGGACCTTCAACCATAGGGGACCATAGATTAGTTTGGGTTGGAAGGGACCTTCAACCATAGGGGACCATAGATTAGTTAGGGTTGGAAGGGACCTTCAACCATAGGGGACCATAGATTAGTTAAGGTTGGAAGGGACCTTTAACCATAAGGGACCATAGATTAGTTTGGGTTGGAAGGGACCTTCAACCATAGGGGACCATAGATTAGTTAAGGTTGGAAGGGACCTTTAACCATAAGGGACCATAGATTAGTTAGGGTTGGAAGGGACCTTCAACCATAAGGGACCATAGATTAGTTAAGGTTGGAAGGGACCTTCAACCATAAGGGGACATAGATCAGTTTGGGTTGGAAGGGACCTTCAAAGCTCATCCAGTCCAACCCCCTGCAACGAGCAGGGACATCTTCATCTGGATCAGGTTGTCCAGAACCACATCCCACCCGGCCTGGAAGGTCTCCAGGGATGGGGCATCCCCCACCTCTCTTTCCATGGGGTTTAAGTTCCTGAGCAGAGGATTTTACTTACTCTTGGCGAGAACAAGGATCAGGCTGGGTCTTCCATTGGCATGAGTGCAGTGGGAAGGATGGAGATGGAGCATCGTGGCTCAACGTCCTTGGCCTTAACAGACCCCTCTGTGCCCAGGGGCTCCCCTGGCTTCGCTTCCCCCTGCTTGCATGCAAAGAGCAGAGCCCCCATGAGGAACCTTTAAGTGCACCCCAAGCTCTGCTCGTGACCCTTTGTGCTCCCAAAGCCATGGGGGGCCCTGCCGAGGCCTCCCGGGAGCTGGTGCCAAGCTCTGCTGCGCCGGTGCCAAACCCAGGCGCTCCCGGTGAAAGCCACCCACGGCTCTGTGCCCTGCAGCAATGGGCCCGCGGATGCCGGAGCACATCCCGGCCCCATGGCTGAGCCGCAGCACCAGGAGCTGCGTTCCCCCATGGATGTGCTCTGCCGGGCGCTGCGGCACCCTGGTAGCGACCTGCGGGTGCTACGGTAAGAGACTGAGCTGGGGTGGGTGGGTGCTGGAGGGGAGAGGATGGGTGCTGCTCTAGGGTGGATAAGAGGGAGCTGGGGGGTGAGGCCAGGCTTTCATTGGCCATGGGAGGGGTGGTCCCTCCATGCTGATTGGCTGCGGGGTGAGAGGGTGGGGTCCCTCCATGCTGATTGGCTGGGGAGTGAGCAGGTGTGATTGCTCCACATTGATTGCCCGTGGGTGAGGGTGGACCCTCCAAGCTGATTGGCTGAGGAGTGAGAGGGTGGGATCCCTCCATGGTGATTGGCCCGGCAATGGGTGGGTGAGGTCCCTCATGATGATTGGCTGTGCTAAGGGTGAATGTGTGCTCTCCATCCTGATTGGCCAATGTGGTGAGTGGCTATGGTCCCTCGAGGCTGATTGGCTGGGGGGGGGGGGGGGGGGGTGAGAAGGGGAGGCTTCTCCATGCTGATTGGCTGTGCTTAGGGTGAGTGTGTTCCCTCCATGCTGATTGGCCAGGTGGTGGGTTGGTGTGTTCCCTTGAGGCTGATTGGCCATGTGGTGGGTGGGCATGGTCCCTCGATGCTGATTGGCTGGTGGGGCGGGTCGGCGTGGTTCCTCCCCATGCCCATTGGCCGGTGGCGGTGGGGGGGTTCTGCCTGGGCTGTCCTGCAGGCTGCAGTGGTGCCGGCTGCCCGAGAGCTGCTGCGCGGCGCTGGCGGCGCTGCTGGCCCAGCACCGCAGCCTGGAGCGCCTGGAGCTGGGGGACACCGCGCTGGGGGACCGCGGCGTGCGCCTGCTCTGCCAGGGGCTGCGGCAGCCCGGCTGCTGCCTGCGTGCACTGCGGTGAGAGCCCCGGCACGCTGCGTGTCCCTGAGCATCCCCCTGGTACCCCTGGGCATCCCCATGGCACCCACAGGCATCCCTGGGCATCCCCATGGCACCCACAGGCATCCCTGGGCATCCCCATGGCACCCACGGGCACCCCTGAGCATCCCCATGGCACCCACAGATATCCCTGAGCATCCCCCTGGTGCCCCTGGGCATCACTGGGCATCCCCATGGCAACCCCGGGCATCCCTGAGCATCCCCTGGGCATCGCCATGGCACCCACAGGCATCCCTGAGCATCCCCCTGGTGCCCCTGGGCATCCCTAAGCATCCCCATGGCACCCACAGATATCCCTGAGCATCCCCATGGTACTCCTGGGCATCACTGGGCATCCCCATGGCAACCCCGGGCATCCCTGAGCATCCCCTGGGCATCGCCATGGCACCCACAGGCATCCCTGAGCATCCCCCTGGTACCCCTGGGCATCCCTGAGCATCCCCATGGCACCCACGGGCACCCCTGAGCATCCCCCTGGCACCCACAGGCATCCCTGGGTATCCCCCTGGCACCCACAGGCTTCCTTGGGCATCCCCCTGGCACCCCCGAGCATCCCTGGACATCCCCATGGCACCTACAGGCATCCCTGAATATTCCCCTGGTACCCACGGGCATCCCATAGCATCCCCCCAGCACCCCCGGGCATCCCTGGGCATTCCCCCAGCATCCCTGTGCATCCTTGAGCATCCCCTTAGGAGCCCCAGCATCCCTGAGCATCCCCCTGGTACCCTCTGGCATCCCCGGGCATCCTGAGCATCCCCCTGGCATCCCTGAGCATCCCTTTGGCACCCACAGGCATCCCATAGCATTCCCCCAGCATCCCTGAGCATCCCCAGCATTCCCAGGCATCCCTAAGCCACCCCTGGGCATCACCCCAGCACCCCTGAGCACCCTCCTGGCACCCCACAGCATCCCTGGGCATTTCCCAAGCAACCAAACCCCCGGGGGCGGGTGGGAGCACTGGAATGGTACCCAAAGGAGTCCCTTGGGGTGGCATCATCCCCGTGTCCCCGCTCGCTCAGGGCAGTGGCACCGGGTCGGGGACCACGGTGGGGTGGCACTGGGGCTCTCTCCCTGCAGCCTGCGGTATTCCCGCCTCACCAGCGCCTGCTGCAAGGACCTGGCGGCTGTGCTGAGCACCAGCCCCTGCCTGGAGGAGCTGGATTTGTCCTTCAGCGAGGGGCTGCGGGACGCGGGCGCGGAGCTGCTGTGCGAGGGGCTGCGGCCCCGTTCCTGCCGCCTGCGGACGCTGCGGTAAGAGGCGGCCCGGACCCCGGCGGGGGGGGCTCGGCCGGTCCCGCCGCACATCCCCGCTCCCGCACCCCGCAGGCTGGGGAGCTGCCGGCTGACGGGCGCCTGCTGCCGAGCGCTGGCTGCGGGGACGCCTCCCCTCACCTGCCTGGACCTGAGCGACAACGAGCTGGGGGCGGACGGGGTCCTGCAGCTCTGCCGCCAGCTCCGGAGCCCCTCCTGCCCGCTGCGGGCCCTGGGGTAAGGGGCTGCGGGTCCCCTTCCACCCCTGTGCCAGCGCGGCGGGACAGGGTCAGTGCTGCGGGACAGGGAAGGGGTTGGGTTGGGAGGGACCTGAAAGCTCCTCCAGCTCCAATCCCGACCCCTTCCACTGGAGCAGCTTGCTCCAAGCCCCTGTGTCCAACCTGCCCTTGAGCACTGCCAGGGATGGGGCAGCCACAGCTTCTCTGGGCACCCTGTGCCAGCGCCTCAGCACCCTCCCAGGGAAGAGCTTCTGCCTCAGAGCTCATCTCAGTCTCCCCTCGGGCAGGTTCAAGCCATTCCCCTTGGCCTGTCCCTACAGGCCCTTGTCCCAAGCCCCTCTCCAGGTTCCCTGCAGCCCCTTCAGGCACTGGAGCTGCTCTCAGGTCTCCCTGACCCCCCCCCCAAGCCGAGGGTGACCCCACAGCTCTCTCCTCCTCTGTTACAGGCTGAGCACGGCCGAGCTGCCCCAGGACGCGCTGCAGGCCCTGGCTGCCCTGCAGGAGCTAAAGCCCAGCCTGAAGGTCGGGTACCTCCTGGAGCAGGAGGTGCCGCAGACGGGGGCCATGGCCCGGCTCCCCTTCCACCGCGGGGCCCTGCCGGGCAGGAGGGTGCCCCCCTCGCTCCGCAGAGGAGCCCTCCTCTAGGAGAGCCCCTGGAGCAGCCCCAGCCGTTCCCAGCCCAGGCCTTGGTGACCTGGGGGAACCCGCTCTGGGTCTGAGCCTGCCCCATGCGTGGGGGCGCAGGGGAGGAGGTGCTGCCTGCATCCTGCATCCTGCATCCTTCCCTCTCCCGTTTCCCCATGTGTGGGGAACAGATCTATATAGATCTATATAGACCCCCACCTATTGCTGGGAACACACGTGTTGGGGTTGGTGGATGCCAAATAAAGGCACTGGGGCCCTTATTTCCCTTGTCTTCCTCTGCTCTTCTCCCTGTCCCAGTCCCACGCAGGGACCCATCTGTGGGTCCAGCACCTGCCCCACATCCCCAAGGGAGGGTTGATGTCCCCAGGAGCAAGGTGCCAGCCTGGAAGTGAGTCTCCAGCCAGCTTTGGAGTTTTAGTAAGGAAAACCATGGGAATTCAGTGAAACCAACCCCAAATCCCCGCAGCGCTGCTGGCAGAGGGACACCAGAGGTGACCACCGTGGCCAGGGCCACCCGTCCTTGGGGACAGAGCCCCAGCGCCCGCACTTGTGTCCCCGTGGCCTCGTGTGGTGCGGCCGCAGCATCCTCACAGCAACGTCCCCAAGGTGCCAACGTCAGCATCATCGTAGCTTGTGTCCTCTGGGGGCTGCTCCGGGGGGTCCCATGTGCCTCCTGGGGGGGGACGGCTCCCACCTTGGGGACCGCAGAGGCTGGTGCCTTAGTGGGGGCCGTTAAACCCCATCTGGGTCTTGCTGCAGCCCCACGGATTTGCTGCTGCTCTCTCCCCCCCCCGCAGCCACCGCAGCCAAGAGCCCCCCGAGGTGGCTCTCCAGGGGACAGGGACACTCACCTGCGTGTGCCACCCCCTCGGGGGTGTCCCCAGTGCCAAGGGACTCCTCTGGCACAGCCTCGGCGTCATCGTAGCCATCGGGGGGGCCTGGGGCAGCGACGGGGAGGGGATGGGGGTGACCCGGAGGCCGCGGCAGGGCTCTGGCTGTGTCACCCCCCTTCCATCCACACCACCAGGGGCGTCCGGGAGGCCCTGGGGCTGCTCATCCAGAGCCACTGCTGAGCTGGGCTCATTCAGGCCAGGGGACCCTGTGCCCCCTTCGTTCCCCAGTCCTAGGGGGGGTCCCCGCTGGGATCCTGTCCCCATGTCCCTACCTGGGGCTGCGCTGGGGTCACTCTCCTCCACATCCTCCGCGGTGTAATAGGGCAGCTTCGTCTCTGAGCCCTCTGTTGGGGAGCCTGGTGGGGAGAGGGCACAGTGGGACGGGGGACACCGACGCGCCACGGGATGAGCCGGTGCCACACCGCCAGGACCCGGCGCTGTGGTGGGGCCGTGGGGCAGAGCTACCCCAGCATGGGTACACGTGCACCGACCTGGGCGACTGGGCACCTTCTGGTACTCCTGCATCCCGGTGTAGTCCAGCTCCTCATACACAGCATCCACGGCTTTGCCAAGCTCTGGAACAGCAGCAGCGCTCACCAGGAGCACCGGCGTCACCCAGTGCCCACCCTCTGAGCCACCCCATGGCGGGGAGCCCCGGGACCCCCCCAAACCAGCTCTGCCCCGGCTCCCACCTCGTCGCCCAGCCCGGGCACGGTACATCTGCACAGCCAGGACAGCGAGCGCCAGGCACAGCAGCACCCCCAGCACCACGCACAGGACCGTCGGCACCGGCACCGTGGCCGCCCGCGGGGTGCTGGCACTGGGGACACCTGCGGGGCCAGGGGAGCGAGGTGAAGCGAGGCCGTGGAGCGCGGCCGGCCCGGCGCAGGGCTCAGCATCAGAGCTACCTGTGACCGTGGGGCTCCCCGGGGCCGGGGTGAGCATCTCCTCGGCGCACATCACATGCGCGTCCCCGCCGGGCCCGCACGGCTGCAGGCGCCAGGGAGCCGAGGGGCAGCGCCACAGCGAGCGGGCCCCGTCCTCGCAGCGCACCCAGGCGAGCCAGGCGGGGGCCGGCAGCGGGGCAGCCACGGCCCCGAGGCTGCCCTCGTGCCCGCAGCCCAGCTGCCTGCAGGCGGCGGCGGCCGTGGCCGCGCTGGTGCCGTCGGCGCACACGCGGCCCCACGTCCCGTTGTAGAGGAGCTCCAAGTGGCCGCTGCAGCGGCCGCTGCCGCCCGCCAGCCGCAGGGAGAGCTGCCCTGCGGGGGGACAACGCGGGGGTCACCGCCCGGCTCCGGCTGCGCGCCCCCGCCGTGCCCGGCACTGACCTGAGCACACGGCGCCGGCCCCGCCGCCCAGCCGGCAGCCGCGCTGCGCTGGGGCCGGGCAATCCCAAAGGGACTCCTCGGTGCCGGCGCAGCCACCGGCACCCGGCCACGGCGGTGCCGCGCCGGGGCCGAAGCGAGCGGAGCCGGGCGCTTCCAGCGCTGCCCCGCAGCCCAGCTGCCGGCACACGACGGCGGCGTCGGGGATGTCCCAGCCGTCCTGGCACAAGGGGATCCAAGCGCCCTTAACGTAGAGCTCCACACGCCCCGCACAGCGCCCAGGGCCCCCCGCCAGCCTCAGCCGCCGGCTGCCTGCGGGACACGGACGGGATGCAACGGGGCTGCTGCTGCGGGGCCGGCACCCCCCGGGCCGCGGCGGGGCACTCACCGGAGCACACAACAGCCAGAGCCTCGGGAGCGCCGCTTGCAGCAACGGCCGCGGCCGAGACGTTGCACTGCGCCAGGGCGTCCTCGCTGCCCGAGCACTGCACCTCCTGCAGCCCCACGGCGCTGGGGCTCGGCACGGGGGAGACCCGCTCCAGCTCGCCGCAGCCCAGCTCCCGGCACGCCACGGTGGCCGCCTGGGTGTCCCGGAGCCCCGCGGACACAGCGGCCCAGGTGCCCGTGCTCGTGGTGACTTCCAGCCGGCCCTCGCACCGGCTCTGCCCCTCCAGCAGCCGTACGGGCTCGGCAGCGCCTGCAGGATCGAACCGAGAAGCTGTGGCTGCCCCATCCCTGGCAGTGCTCAAGGGCAGGTTGGACACAGGGGCTTGGAGCAAGCTGCTCCGGTGGAAGGGGTCCCTGCCCGGGGCAGGGGTTGGAACCGGATGGGCTTTAAGGTCCCTTCCAACCCAACCCAATCCGGGATTCTATGCTAAAGCACCGGCGGTGCCATGGGGCTGCAGCACAGGGTCCTGGGGCGATGCTGGGCCGCAGCTCATCCCCCCCCCTTCACCCCAAAGGACCCCGCATCCTCCATTCCCAGTGCTTGGGGTGTCCCCAGAGCCCCGTGAGGCTCTTCCCCCCCGGTGTTCCATACGCACCGGAGCACTCGACCGCAGCAGCGTGGCCGGGGGGGCAGCTTGGCTCCCCCAGCACCGCCACGGGGCACTGGCTGGGGTGCTGCTCGCTGCCGCTGCAGCCGAAGGCGTCGAGGCGCAGGGTCCCGTTCCCGCTGCCGAAGGAGCCTCCCGGGAGCACGGCGGCGGCAGGGCCGCAGCCCAGGTGGTGGCAGAGGACACGGGCATCGGGCAGGTCCCAGGCGCTGGCGCAGAGGGACCCCCACGTCCCCCCCGCCATCACCTCCACCCGCCCGGCGCAGCGCGAGCTGTGGTTCGCCAGCCGGAACCCGGTGTAGGCTGGGGCACAAAGGGGGTTGGGGGGGTGGTGGTGACAACGGTGCGGGGGGGGGACGGGACCCCCAACACCCCCCGGTGTCCCCGGCGCTTACAGGAGCAGATGATGCTGGCGTGGCCGGTGCAGGCCTGGGCACTCGGTGCCCGCCGCCGGCAGGCGCTGAGGACGAGCTCGGTGCCGCTGCACTCGAATCCCACGCCCCGTTGCGGCTCCGATCCCCCCGGGAAGAGCCCGGGCCCCGGCACAGCCAGCACCGAGCCGCAGCCCAGCTCCCGGCAGACGACCTGGGCAGCGTTCAGGTCCACGGCATCCTCACAGAGCCCGAGCCAGGCTTGGCCCTGCCGCACCTCCAGCCGCCCCGCGCAGGGGTCATCGCCACCAACCAGCTGGGAGAACCCTGCGGGGAGAGGCCCCGGGTCGGTGCTCAGGGGTCGGAGAAGCCCTCAGGGGAAGGACTTGGGGTGCTGGGTGAGGAGCAGCTCCCCAGGACCCGGTTCAGTGAGCGCTTGAGCCCAGAACCCCCCCCATGTGCTGGGCTGTACCCCCAGAGCGTGAGCAGCAGCTCAGGGAGGGGATCCTGCCCCTCTGCTGGGCTCTGGGGACACCCCGCTTGCAGTGCTGGGTGCAGAGCTGGGGTCCTCAGCGTAAGAAGGCCATGGAGCTGTTGGAGCAAGGCCAGAGGAGGCCACGAGGATGCTCAGGGGCTGGGGAAGCTCCCGTATGGAGCCAGGCTGAGAACACTGGGGCTGTGTGGAGAGCTCAGAGCAGCTTCCAGTGGCTGAAGGGGGCTACAGGGATGCTGGAGAGGGACTCTTCATCAGGGACTGGAGCGACAGGACAAGGGGTGATGGGTTCAAACCGAAACAGGGGAAGTTCAGGTTGGAGATAAGGCAGAAGCTCTTCCCTGGGAGGGTGCTGAGGCGCTGGCACAGGGTGCCCAGAGAAGCTGTGGCTGCCCCATCCCTGGCAGTGTTCAAGGCCAGGTTGGACACAGGGGCTTGGAGCAAGCTGCTCCAGTGGAAGGGGTCCCTGCCCGTGGCAGGGGTTGGAGCTGGAGGAGCTTTAAGCTCCCTTCGACCCAGACCTGGGGCCCTGCCCTGTGCCAGCACCAGCTCCCGGCTCCTACCTTGGCAGATGACGCCGGTGTCGAAGTCGTGGATGCCGCTGTAGGGCCCCCAGCCCCTCACCTCGCACTCCCAAAGCGCTTTCTCGTGCCCGCGGCAGTTCACCAGCACCATGTTGATGGGGCTGTCGTCGCGGCCAAAGCGGCTGCTCTCGATGTAGGCCCTGGCGGCCGAGCCGCAGCCCAGCTGCTGGCAAACCACCTCGGCATCCACCATGTCCCACGTGTCGTCCGCCACCGCGCCCCAGCGTCCCCGCAGCTTCACCTCCACCTTCCCGGCGCAGGGACCGCCGCCGCCCGCCAGCCTCAGCTCCACCGCGTCTGCACCGCGGCACCGACCCAGCCTCAGCCACAGCCGGCGCCGCTGCAGGTGTCCCGGCACCACCGGCGTCCCCCAGCTCACCTGTGCACGTCACCCCCACGTCGCGCTCGTGGCTGCAGAAGTGCTGGCCCCATCCGAAATGGGGACAGTCCTGCAGCATCGCCTCGTCGCCGCGGCAGAAGAAGACGTGGAGCCAGATGCGGCCGGTGCCCTGCCCGAACGGAGCGTACGGGGACGACGTGGCCGCCGTGCCGCAGCCGAGCTGCCGGCACACCACGGTGGCCCAGCGGGCGTCCCAGTCGAAGTCGTAGCTGCAGACGGAGCCCCATTCATCTTCATGCTTCACCTCCACCCTCCCGGCGCAGCGCCCACCACCACCCACCAGCCGCAGCTCATCGGGGCCCTGCCTGCTGCTCAGCTCAGCCTGGGGCTCTGGGGTGCTCCGAGGCTGCCCCAGGCTGAGCTGCACCCACAGGAGCACCCCCAGCACCCTCCCAGGCACCATCTCGCATGCCAGGACACCCCCTCGTGGGGTGGGCTGGGTGATTTATAGGCAGCGCCGGAGCCAGTGGAAGCGGCAGCACCCTTTGAGCCCGTTATCAGTTGGGTTATCTCCCATGTGGCGGGGCCCCGGCCTCCAATAACCTGCTCCGTGCCCAAATATGAGGCTCGGCTCCGCTTCTGGCGTCACACACCTCGCCACGGGGTTCGGAGCCCGGATGTCTCCAGCGTGAACCAATACCCCCCCCTCCCCATAGCACCCAGCGCTGCAACAGGGTGCATGGACCCATCCCATGTCCCCCCATGGCACTGACCCTGCTGCAGCGCCTGCCAAGAGCCCAATGGCAACAGGCTTCACCCCAAAGCCCCCCAGGGCCGCCCTTAGCACCAGCACGGAGCAAAGCCCAAAGACCCCAGCACAGCAGCACCCATCCTTGGGGTGCTCCCCTCCATAGGGTGCCTGCAGGCCCTGAGTCGGGGGGCCCTGAGGTGGGAGCAGCCTCCCCCCGGCTCCCCGCGGTGCCTGCAGGTGGCCCATGGCAGTGCCGGCAGCTGTGGCAGGCAGGAAGGAGGCGGTTTCCCCCCCCAAGCAGGGACCCGGTGTCGGCATCGACCACACGCAGCTCCCCAGCCACCTGCGGGGCTCCCGGTAACGCCGCAGCGGCACCTGCCTGCGGTGATGCCGCACAGAGGGGGCACGGAGCCCGCCGGCAGCCGGTGGGGACCCACCTGGCCAAGCCGGGAGCAGCAGCAGCAACACCCAACGGGTGCAGGAGGTGCAAGGAGCAGGAGCTCCCTCAAGGGCTCGGTTGAGGCCGGGGTTGACCTGGCCGACTCCATGAGCCGCAGGGGGACACGGAGAGGGTGCGGAGGCAGCTTCCCATTGAAGAGCTGCTGCGGCGCAGGGCCGGGCAAAGGCACCAACGTGCTGTACAGCGGTGACGGACGGGAAACACGGGCGTGCAGCGGCGGCTGCGGCCACCACGTGCCGGGAGCCTGCTGCCTTCGGACGTCCCCGTTAACCACCGGGGGTCCCCAGCGGCGCAGCACGGACACGCCGCGGCTGCCCTTGACCCCACGGAGGGGAGGGGGGGGGGGGGGGGCTCAACACCGGGAGCGCCCCGCGCACGGAGCCCGTGCAGGGCCGTTCCGAACGGCGGCTTGAGGCGGAACGGCCCCGTTAGCGCGGCAAGCGGGCGCGCCAACACCGCGGCTGGCCCCGCCCACTCAGCGACTGGACACGCCCCCCCTCCATGGGCTGACCACGCCCACTGCCCCCCCCCCCCCCCGCAGCGTTCTCCTCCGCGCCGGCAGGGGGCGCGTCCACGTCTGTCCGGAAAGAGCCGAGCGGCGGCGGAGGAGGCCGAGGCGGGGCGCAGGGCCGGGCCGATGGCGGAGGAGGTCGAGCGGCTGCGGGCGGACGGCGTGGACAAGGAGGTGGTGCGGGAGGGCACGGGGCCGCCGCCCGACTTCCGCGACGGCACCAAGGTCAGAGCCGCGCCGCCGCCCTCGGGGCTGTGGCGGTGGTGCTGGGGCTGGGGGGGGGCAGAGACGGGAGGAAAGGGTGATGTACGCATGCGCGGCCCCGCCGTGTTGCCATGGCGACGGCCGCGGCCTACTCGCGCCTGAGCGTTGCCGCCGCCGCCGCCCCCTTTCCTTCAGGCCACTTTCCACTACCGGACGCTGCGGTGCGGCGATGGGGAGGAGCCGCTGGACTGCAGCCGGGAGCAGGGCAAGCCCATGGAGCTCATCGCCGGCAAGAAGTTCAAGCTGCCGGTGTGGGAGGCGGCGCTGCGCACCATGAGGCCCGGCGAGCGCGCCCGCTTCCGCTGCGACGCCAAGGTGAGCAGGGGGCGTGGCTTGGGAAGGGGGGGAGGGCGTGGTCAAACCGGAGGGGGCGTGGTTTAGTCCGCTGGGCCGCGGGTTCGATGCCCGGTCCCCCACCACGGCGTTCCCGGTGCATCCCCGGCCTCGCCCCGCAGCACGTGGTGCTCTACCCCATGGTGGCCAAGAGCCTGCGGAACATCGCGGCAGGGAAGGACCCTCTGGAGGGGCAGCAGCACTGCTGCAGCCTGGCCCAGCTGCACAACCACTGCTCCCTGGGCTACGCCGACCTCGATGAGCTCCAGAAGAACCCCCAGCCCCTCATCTTCGACATCGAATTGCTCAAGGTGAGGCACCCGCTTTTGGGAAAGGGGGGGCTGTCCCCCCGGTGGGGGGGTGCTGCGGCTCTGCGCTCAACGCTGGGGTGCTGGCAGGTGGAGCCACCCGGCTCCTACCAGCAGGACCCGTGGGCCATGACGGATGAGGAGAAGCTGCAGGCTGTACCCCAGATCCACAAGGAAGGCAACGAGCTGTACCGGCAGGGCAAGGTGCAGGAGGCAGCTGCCAAGTACTACGACGCCATCGCCTGCCTCAAGAACCTGCAGATGAAGGCGAGTCTCCCGCATCCCTCCTGGATGTCACAAGGAGGGGCTGGGAGCTTCCCTTCACTCTCCTTCATCTGTCACCTCCTCCAGGAGCAGCCTGGATCTCCAGACTGGATTGAGCTGGACCAGAAGATCACCCCCCTGCTGTTAAACTACTGCCAGTGCAAGCTGCAGTGCGAGGAGTACTACGAGGTGCTGGATCACTGCTCTTCCATTCTCAACAAGTATGAGGGTAAGGAGCCATGGGCGAGGTGGGAACCAGCCCGGTCCCACTTCCCCCTGCTCCATCAACCCGGCCTCTCTCTCTTCCCCCCCAGACAACATCAAGGCCTACTTCAAGCGGGCGAAGGCCCACGCCGCGGTGTGGAACGTGGCGGAGGCCCAGGCTGACTTTGCCAAGGTGCTGGCCCTCGACCCCTCGCTGCGCCCCGTGGTCTCCAAGCAGCTCAAGAGCCTGGAAGCGCGCCTGCGGGAGAAGGACGCCGAGGACAAGATCCGCTTCAAGGGCATCTTCTCGCAGTGAAGCCCGTGCCGGAGAGCCCACAGGTTCCTTTAGGTATTCCACATGTGGAATGTTCAATGGATGTTTATTAATGTTTAATACAGACCTGTACTTATTGGAAGTCAGGCGGAGGGGCCCCGGAGCTCACCCCTGGCCCAGCAGTGCACTTCGGGGCAGTATTAAGCAGCGTGAAGCGATGGCAGCACACACTGGAGGTGCAGACTGTGCTCACCGCCGCGCCAGGAATGCCATGTGGGGTGACACAAGCTGAAGGCAGCTGCGCTCTGCTGCATCATTTTAGCCTTCCTTTGATGGTTTTATACTTTACGAGCTGTTGCGCCAAGCCTCGGCCCCAGCTCTCCCCCCTTTGTGCCTGTGTATCCTGTGTTGTCACTTCCCAAGGCTGCTGCTATCACCCCGAGCCGGTGTTTCCTCTCTACTGGATCATCGTGTCAGCGTCGTAAATATTTTATATAGGACAAGTGCTTGTTACTGCTATCTCTATCTATATATAACTCTGGTTGTGCTGTGCCAAAAGGAAGTAAAGCTATAGCCACGGGTCCCTGGGTACTTAGGAAAGTCGCTGTTAGAGGTAAAAGGGGTAAAACAAAGCTGCAGGTCAGGGGGAGGCAGCCTGGCAAGCCCTTGCCCTGGGGCCTTGCAGACTCACTGCAAAGCTGAGCCCTTACTTAAGGGCTTCCCCATCGTGGATGTGTCATAGGTGCAGAAGCAGCCCAACTCAGGGTAAAGGCAGCTCTGACACCCACAGAGGCTGGGGTGGTGCTTGTCCTGTCCCGTCCCCCCCCCCCCACGCTGCAGGAGCTCAAAGCTGAGCCTGTGCTGCTGCAGCACCCCAAGCCCCACAGCCCTCACTCCCCCCCTTCCATCCCTGCTCTACCAGCCCAACCCTCCTCTTGTGCAAGAGGTTTAACCACTCGTGACCTGCAGCGTCTTGTTGGCATCAGCACCTACCCAGAGCCACCCCGGGCTGCCTTTCCCTGCCGTCACCTGTCCCACATTGCTCATGACCCAACTGCTGTGGCGCAGGACCCGTGTGACACCATGGCCCCAGGCTTGTGGGTGCAAGTCCTGGTGCCAGCTACGGCTGGGGGGGGAACAGAGCAAACGTGAGGGCTCCAGCTCCTCATCTTTACATCGCTTTATTACACACCAGAACGGAAGAGAACAGAGGAAGCGCCTCTGAATCCCGCCCCTTCCCGGCCCTGCAGCACCCAACGGAAATAAATAAGAGGGAAGCAGGGAAGTGCCACTTGCCTTGGGGCCCCTCAGTGCTGCCCAGGGACCGAGGACCCTGCAGGGCCTTACTGCAGCTCCCCAGGGGACAAACCCCACCGGGCACTGCCCAGCAGCAGCTCTGCAGCCCCACAGGAGCAGGGGGACGGGGAGCTGGGGTGGCTCAGTCCCGAGGGGATCACTACAACCACCTCCCAGGACCCCTCGGGTCCACGGGGCCCGGTGCCCTCATCTCCTTCCCATGGGCTCGGTGCCCATCGCGGGCTCGGGCCCCGGTTGCCCTTGGCTGGCGGTGGTGGGGGGAGCGGTGCTGGGGCCACCCTCACTCCTCATCCTCCAGCTTGAGGCTGACGCTGCGGGGCTTGGCCCTGGGCAGCCCTGGGGCTGCTGCTGAAGGCCCTGCCCCGTCCCACTCGGCCTGGCTGGAGCCCCGCGCCCGCAGGAGCTGGTTCTGCTTGCGGAGGACGTCGACGGGCGCCAGGCAGCCGTAGGTGCCTTTGCCCAGCGTGGGCCGCGAGGGGCCCTTGGGTAAGTGGGCCTGGGCTGCTGCCTCGAGCTGGGCAAGGTGGGCTGCGTAGCCCTCGGACACGAACTGTGGGACACACAGACATGGCGAGCTCCCCCCGTGGGTCAGCAATTGCCCCCTGCAGCTCGGGCCCGGCCCCAGCCCCACCACTGTACCTGGCACTGGTTGGTGAACTTCTTGATGGCCCGTCCCACGATGTAGATGCTCGTTGGTGGCAGCCCCAGGGAGCTGTACACGGAGATGTCCTTGGTGGAGCCGTAGCCAGCAATGATGTTGATCTCTGCCTGCCCACGGAGAAGAGGACAGCAGCGTTAGGGCAAGGACCAGCCCTTCCCGCAGGGACACCCTTGGTTTATGGGGTAGATGCAACACCCACAGGCCGGGACCACCCCTTCGTGCCTGGGAGCAGGTGCCAGCCCCATCGTGGTTGAGCTCAGAGCATCCCCACACTGACCCCCAGGACAGCCCACAGTGCCCCATCGCCACCACCAGCCCCATGCCCCCTGCCCAGGGCTGTCCCTGTGCCCACCTCGGTGTGCAGGCTCTGGAGGAAGGCGGTTTTCTGGCGCAGGGGGTCGTGGGTGAGCCCGTCGCAGAAGGACACGGAGCCGTAGGGGAAGTTGTGCTGGGAGAGCCAGGCCACCACGCGGTGCTTCTGCATGTCCGGGCGCCCCGTCACGTAGATGATCATGAAGCCCAAGTCCTGCCAGTGCCTAGGAGGGGACGCACGCTGCTGCCAGGAGCCCGTGTGGGGACGCTCCTGCATCCACCAGCGCAGCACCCGTGGGTGCTACCTCCACAACCTTCCTCCTCCCAGCGGGTTAATCGAGGCAGAGCTGCGGGTACCACAGCAGGCTTCAAGGACCATAGCCAGGAGAGGACTCCTTGCCCACAGGAAGGCGTCAGCGCGGAGATGCTGCGCAAAGGGGGTGCTGGGAGATCCCCCAGCTCCTCCCTAGGACATCAGCCTGCTCCGGTGCCCCCACGCCGCCAGTTTTCTTGTCACCTCACCACGAGAGGAGGGGAGAACATCCCCTTTACATGAAGGGCACCTACCGTACTACATCCACAGCCCCTGCCCGCACTTTGGGGTCATTGCCCATGATGGAGACGCTGGCGGCGAAGGAGCCGTCGATGCTGAACACGATGCACTCGGTGCCGGGGGCCACCACGGTCAGGTACGCCTCGGCGAAGCTGTGGTCCCCCCTGGGGTGGGAGAGTGGCAAGGGCTCAGCTCCAGCTCTGCCCCAAGGGCTGCAGGAGGGGAGCCGAGGTGGCTCCAGGCACCCGGCTCCTCACCTCACCACCATGCGCACGGGGTAGATGCCGATGGCCAGAGCTTTGTCTGGAGGGATGGTGAAGGTCAGGCGCCCGCTGCCGCTCGTCACCTCGGTGCCGTAGTACATCCACTTCCCCGACAGCGGTTGTGTCATGACGTAGATGTCCACCTGCAGAGGGAAAAGGGCTCAGTCCTGCTGCATCCCCAGCCTACGCGTCCTTACAGCCCTCTGCCACCACCCTACAGAGGGTCCTGGTCACCACAGCCCTGACACCGGCCCCGTGCCCTGCCCCACGGTGGCACCCATGAGCCCAGCGGTACCTTCTCCCCGGTCAGTGTCACCATGTCCAGGGGGCCGTACATGAAGCGCCCGGTGAGGACCTGGGCTTTGCCCTCGCACACGATCACGTCGCAGACCCGGTGGTTTGCCGTCATGTTCTGCAGGGACACGAGGGCCACAAAGGCCCATGGGTCTGGGGGACCAGCCCAGCCCATGGGAGCAAAGCAGCGCCATGCCCCCATGAACGGGATCCAGCCGGAGCTCTGGGAAAGGGTCAGGATCCCAATGGCCATGGGACACGTACCCGGATCTTCATCTGCGTGCGCCGGCGCTGCCACTTCTCCCTGGGGATAGCGGGGCTGTAGGTGGAACCCTCCTCATTCTCTGCTGGCTGCGACTCCTCCTTCTCCATCACCTGCCCGGCAGCAGGGTCCCAGCTCAGCTCCAGCGGCCCCCGTGGGGCTCTGCTGCCCACCCCACCGCGGTGCCCACCATACCTGGCGTAGGATGAAGGCCACCACGTCGGAGGATTCCCAGTAGCTGGCATGGAAGAGGTGGGGCAGGGTGATGGTGGGGAAGGCAGTCAGGGCTTCGGGGCAGTACAACAAGTAGTCGATGCGCTTCCGGCCCCACCAGCGCTCCAGGACTGGGGGGAGAGCTGGAATGAATCCCTCCTTGGACCTTAGCCCACCTCGTGCATCCCAAGGTGCTGGTGTGCAATGGGATGGGCATGGACGGCACTCACTCTTGACGAGTTCACTGGTGCTGGCAGGATCGGGGGGCTCTACAGGCTCACTGCTCTTCCAGAAGCCCCCGAAGCTGCCGGTGGGGGTAGGAGGGGTGGCCAGGTCCACCTTGGGCAGGAAGAGGGCAGAGTGCATCTGCAGCGTATCCGCTGTGGGGAGAGATGGGTGAGGACCCCCTGGGGACACCAATTACCCTGGGACCCCCCTCCAGCAGAGCCCCAAAGGCGGGGGCAGAGCTTGTGGATCACTTTCCCCCCTCCCCAGCTGGGCTCCTGCAGTGCTGGGGGTACTCCGGGTACCCCAGCATGGCGCTGGAGCCCATAGCACACCCCAGGGTGCCCAGGACCAGCCCTGTGACGGGGTGCTCACCCAGCAGGGAGGAGGTGCCATCACCCAGGGGGTACTTCTGGTAGCGGGGCACGCTGAGCGGTGGGACAGCGTGGAAGGCCTTGGTCAAGAGGGGCTCCAGACGAGAGGCGCAGGGGTCGGCCGCGTGGAAGAGGTTGTAGATCTGCTCACAGGCAGGATGCAGCTGAGCCACTGGTGAAGAGAAGGTGTGGGGGGGGAGGATTGGGGCTGCCCAGCCTGCACGGTGAGGAGCCCAACTGGGACAGGGCACGAGGGCTGGTGGGGCCGGGCCAGCACAGCTCAAGGCCCGGGAGGGGGAAAAGCAACACCCAGCGACAGGAAAGGCGAACCCAGGCCACCAGTGACAAGGCAGGGCTGGCACAGAGGAGGGGCACACACGGATGCGGACAAGCACAAGGGGCTCAAACCCAAGCAGGGCTCTCGGGGGACACCACAGAGGGGTTCAGGCTTGCAGGGAGCACGACTCGAGCTCCCTAGGGAGGGCTGGGGGCAGGCACCACGGCTGGCAGGGGTCCTCACCATCCAGAGCGGGCATGACGGTCTTGCGTAGCGCGAGCACCAGCCCCAGCGGGGAGCCAAAGAGGAAGAAGCCGGATACCTTAAAGTCGAGGCGGGTGCTGGCACCCTCTGCCCCATCCAGTGCCGTGGTGCTGCTCCGCGATGCCTCTGGCTCCAGCGCAGCCTCGCTGGCCTGCAGGCTGGGACAGCAGGGCCAGTGGGCACGGGGAGGGATGAGGGGGAACATGGCCCCGCTGCCACCAGCCCAGGGGCAATGCTGGGCCTGGCATGGCCCCATGGAAGCAGCAGGGGAGCTCCAGCAAGACCCCACCCCGTGCAATGCTCCATCCCAGGCTGGTGCAGATGGGAAGTTCACCCTTTCCATAGAGCACAGAGTTAGAGGGGAGATCAGCAGCATTCCCACAGGGAGCTGTTGGCCATCCCCTCGCTCTCACCTGCCCGAGGAGCTGTGACAGTGGCTCTCGCCCTGCTCCCTGCAGAGTGGCTGCGGCCCTGGCTCGGGTTCTGATCCTGCTGCTCCATCTGCTCCATCAGCCAACGGGTCCCGGCCGCCGCACAGCTCCGGGGAGATGGGCTCCATGCTCTGCAGGGACCAAGGCAGTGAGCACCCAGCCCTGCTTGCCCACCACCACCACCAGCACCCAGAGGTGCAGACCCCTCCTGAGCACCCCCGGCAGGGTGCTGGTACTCACCAGGCTGCCGCGGCGGCTGCTGCCACGGCTGCCCCCGGCACCCACCCGGGTCTGGCAGAGCGCATCGAAGCCCAGGATGCCCCCCACACAGTCCCCCAGCAGCACCACCTGCGGACAGCACGCACCCATGGCAAGGGCGGGGGGGGGTGAAGGACACAGCCCCCAGGCCCTCCACAGCCTTTCCCCCCCCCCAGATCCCTCTGACCTGGCCGCAGAAGCCGGCTCCCTCCCTGGAGCGCAGGAAGGCTCCATAGGCCTGGTTGGCACGAGCCACGACGGTGCCCAGGGCGTGCAGGTAGCTCCCCGAGGAGGTGGCCAGCAGCGGGAGGGCTGCCAGGGGGATGTGGTCCTGGCTGCTGTACAGCCTGTCCGTGTCGTGGCTGTAAGGGCTCAGCCTGGGAGGGACAAAGGGAAGGATGAACGGGGGCTGCCCTGGTGTCCTCATCCCACCCCATGATGCTTGCTCGCCACAGGTTGCTGCACCAGGAGTCATGCCCAGCCTATTGCGTGTTCTGGATGCCACAGACAGAATGAATCATGGAAGGGTTTGGGATGAAGGGAGCTGAAGGCTCCTCCGGCTCCAACCCCTGCCATGGGCAGGGACCCCTTCCACTAGGGCAGCGTGCTCCAAGCCCCTGTGTCCAACCTGGCCTTGATGGGGCAGCCACAGCTCTGGGGGTGCAGCCCAGGACATGGGGGGGGGGGGGTCTGGGATCAAGCAGTCACTGAAGCCAGGTCATGGGGAGCTGCTCCTCACCCAACATCCCCAAGTCCTTCCCCTCAGGGCTGCTCCATCCAGTCCCCCCCAGCCTGTGTCTATGCTGGGGATTGCCCCAAGCCAGGGTCAGGACCTTGCCCTTGGCCTTGTTGAACTCCACGAGGTTCCCATCTCTCCAGATCCCTCTGGGTCCCATCCCTTCCCTCCAGTGTATCAACCACACCACCCTGCTCGGCGTCATCAGCGGAGGCTGGCTTTGACCCCACTCTCCAAGGCCACCACTTCCCCGCTCCCCTCCCGCATCCCCGGGATGGTTTTCCATGGGGACAGCCCCACGGCACCCCCCCCCCCCCCCCACATCCACACCTGGAGACCAGGGCATAGGCAGCGGCGCAGATGGGGGGACAGGGCACCAGGCGCAGCGCCACGTGCCCCAGTGCCTCGGGGAAGTGGGCACGGGCGACAGCGTCGAAGGTGGCCGCCAAGGTCTGCACGTCCGCCTGCTTGGAGCCCGGCTCCCCCGAGCCCTGGTCCAGGATGTTCCCGCTGTGCAGGATGAGGAAGAGGACGTGGATCTGGCACGCGGGGGCCGCGCTGTCCGAGGAGCTGCCCTGCGGGGAGGGGAGCGCTGCTGTGGTACCCCCAGCCAGGAGCACGGCCTCAGGGCTGGGATGAGCAGGACACGCACCTCCGAGAAGCTGGATGTCCCCAAACCTTCTCCATCCACCTTGGCACTGCTGGTTCCTTCCCCTGTGAAGGCACAGCCCTGGTGAGCTCCCCTGGCTGAGCTCTGGCTGTGGTCACACAGCTCTGGTGAGCCCAACTGGGGTGGTCCAAGTGGGGCCAGCCCCCTCTCCCAGGGCACCCGCACCAGGGTTTGGGGCTGGACCCCCCCTTCACCACTCACCCAACGCCTCACCCAGCTCCATTGGCTGCTCCAGCGTGTCCAAGAAGTCATTGGAGCTCCACTTGGTCATCTCCTTGGCAAAGACCTCGTCGCTGTCAGACAGGTCCTCTGTGGTGGCATGGGGGGTGGGGGGGGCATGGCAATGGGGAGCACCCCTGTCCCTGCTCCCCAGCCCCGACAGCCCCCTGCCAGGCACGTCCAGCCCACACTGAGCTGGTGCCCCCCGAAACACCGACCCCAGCCGTACCGTGGGCATCGAAGAACTCCTCCTCGGAGCTGTTCTCGGAGTCACGGGCGATGTTCTGCATCCGCCACTCGGACAGGCTCTGAGGAGACACCCCCCCTGCCACCGGCGTGGGGTCAGCACCCAGAGCCCCCCACGGCAACACCCTGCTCCTGCCCTATAGCTCCTCCCTGTTCCTCCACGCAGAGACCCCCAGGGAGAGGCACGACCACCCCGGAGGGCACCCAGAGCCCCCCTGCAGAGGAGGCACCCAGAGCCCCCCAGAGAAGACCCAGGACAGGCAAGAAAGGGTCCCCCAACATCTCAGACAGGGCTGAGGTCCATGCAAGCCCTGGTCTCTCACCTCCATGCTGAGAAGAGTAGGAAGACCGGGAAGAGGTGGACCACTGCTTGGCAAAGGTATCATCAGGGGAGACATCGGCCTCCTGCTGCGCCTCGGCCCCTTCCTGCCCGCTGGCACGTCGGGGTTCCATCCTGCCCTCGGAGCTGGGCCCGGCCATGGGGGGCTCCTCGGCCCCGCTGCACTTGCCCATCTTCTGAGCCAGCATCTGAGCTGTCTCGTCCTCCAGCTGCCGGATGTCCTCCATCGTCAGGTCCGTCCACTCGTCCTGCCAGCACCAGGCCTGGCGGTGGGCACGGAGCATCACCTTCCGCAGCCCTGGTGGGGAGGGAGCCCATGGGAGCACTGGGGGCAGGGCTGGGGCCCCCAGCATGAAGAGGCCGTGGAGCTGTTGGAGCAAGGCCAGAGGAGGCCACGAGGACGCTCGGGGGCTGGGGCAGCTCCCGTATGGAGCCAGGCTGAGAACACTGGGGCTGCGTGGAGAGCTCAGAGCAGCTTCCAGTGGCTGAAGGGGGCTACAGGGATGCTGGGAAGGGACTCTTCATTGGGGACTGGAGTGACAGGACAAGGGGTGATGGGTTCAGACTGAAACAGGGGAAGTTCAGGTTGGAGATAAGGCAGAAGCTCTTCCCTGGGAGGGTGCTGAGGCACTGGCACAGAGTGCCCAGAGAAGCTGTGGCTGCCCCATCCCTGGCAGTGCTCAAGGCCACGTTGGACACAGGGGCTTGGAGCAAGCTGCTCCAGTGGAAGGGGTTGGGGTCAGAACTGAGTGAGCTTTAAGGTCCCTTCCAACCCAAACCATTCCACAATCCTATGGCTCTGGGGCTCCCCAGGCCAACCCCCCAGCAGCACCAAGGGCAGCTGAGTGCTCCCCAATGCTCCCAACTCACCCACATCATGGATGAACTGCTCGATCTTGGACTGCATCCCCCAGTAGCGAAACTCCACCTTGCAGAGCTTGTAGGCACACATCAGGGGCCCGGTGCTGGGGGCCTCCAGCCAATCGTCCCCCAGCGGGCCCCGGCCTGTCTTGCTGGAATGGTAGAGCTTGGGGTCCTCCTCGGGCTTGTATTCCCCAGGGGAGATGGGGTCACGCACGATGTCGATGGTGTCTGCGGAGGGAACAGTGTCTGTCACCCTGTGAGGGGATGCTCGGGCACAAAAACGTGTTAAAATGCACCAAAATCAGCAGGGAAACCCCCAAAATTAGTCCCACAATGCACGCACCCAACACAACCGGTAGCAAACGCTCTCCATCCTGCAGCTGCCCCCCTTACACCCCAATAACAAGGCATGGAGCAAAACCCCTTGAGCCCCCATCGAGCTGGGGGGTACAAGAGCAACATCCCCCAAAACAGCACTGAACCCCCCAAAACTGAGGGATGGCACCGGGAAACCATGATCCAACAGACCTCTGGGTTGGACATTCAGGCTCAACCCTGCAGTTGGGCTGCTCCAGCCTAGCTCCCTCCAGCCCCATCTTGGGGGGGGTGCCAGGACCTTCTCATGGGGCTGTCCCCAAGCCATCCCCATCACCCTGCAGTTATTTGCCCCCAGGGTATCTGCTGGCCTCTTCCTCCAGCTTGGGCTGGAAAAAGGGGGCGAAAAAGGACTTTTAAGAGTCAAAAAGGTGCAGTCCAGGTGCTTTGCCCCGTGCTGAAACGCAAAGTGCCCCAACGCACATCTCCCCGGCACGCCATGGGGTGGGAAAGCACCATGGGCTGGTGCCCACACTGAGCAGCAACAGAGGCTGAGGGGACACCCCAGGGCTGGCCCCGCTGCCTGTGCTGCCGTCCCCTGTGTGCAAAGGGTAAAGCCCCATCCGCAGCCACATCAAGGGAAGCAGGGGAGCTCCAAGCCCATAAAACCCCACGGCCAGCCCTGGGATGATGGCACCAGGCTTGGCCACAGTGCCTTTAAAGCCGAGCCTGCCGGGCTGGCTGAGCAGCTCGGCTGGCAGCACGCTGTGGTTGGAGCCAGGCAGGACCTGCCAGGTCCTGGCAGGGCAGCTCATGCGACAAGCAGCAGGGCTGGTTGCTTCTAAGTGCAAGGAGCTTGGCAAGGCCCTGGGCCCCCCGCTGCCCTTTGCGACGTGAGATGGGGCCGAAATCAGTGCTATGGGGGAGAGGGAAAGCAAATCCCAGCGGGACCTGTGCTGGCGACGGTGACAGATCCCCCATGGGGGACACAACGGGCCCCATGGGGAACCCATAGATGGCACGCCGGGAGGGAAAGCGGGCAGGAGAAGGGGCACGGGGCTCTCTGCGCTCATCCCTGGTGGCGGCAGGGACCGGATCCATGGTCCCCAGCCCCGAGCTCCGGCATCCCGGCCGGACATCCCCGCTGCTGCAGGAGCCAATGAGAGAAATAGGTCAGATGAATCATTTCCTCCCGGTGCCTATTTTAGGCCTCCATTTTAAGAGCAGCGCGTCACGCTCTGCGCTCCGGTGCCCGAACCCACCGCATCCACCGCGCCGGGAAAGGCCGGACATGGCAACCGGAGCCAGCGCGGCCGGCGGGGAGGGAGGAATCCCAACGCCCGGGGGGGGGGGGGGGCTCCTGGCAGTGCCCATGAGAGAAGCACTGGAAGGGTCGAGACTTGGAGAATGATCTGGAGCAGGGAAAGCAGGCCTGGGGAAACGGGGACAGGCTTTGCCGGCTCCAGTGCTCCCTATGGAGGCCGCTGTGGGATCCCAGAACGGGGTTGGGAAACAAAGCTGGGACAGGGAAGGAGAGGGGAGGACCAGGAAAAAAGAGGGCTGCAAACCAACCTATAGGTTAAGGGAAGAAGGCAGAGCACACCGTGAGCCCCAAACCATCTTTAGGTGGAGCCTGGTTTAGCAGCACCGCCAAAAAGGCTTGGGCAGGGAGCTCGGGATAAGGACTTTGGGGCACAGGCCCAAAGCATCCCCGCCCCACAAGGTCCAGCGCGAGGAGCGAAGCCAAACCCCGCGTGCAGCAGAGCCCCACGGCTCTCCACGCGGGAGCACCGCGGGCACCAGCGCGTCCCGCTCCGCACGCACCCAGGACCCTCTGCCTCTTCTCGGCGGCGCTCAGGTTGAAGACGTTGGGCTGCTGCCCCGCGTCCTGCCGGTAATAGGTCTCGATCTCGATGGAGAACTTCTCCACGAAGGGACACGTGTACCTGTGGGGACAAAGCGCTGAAGCCACGGCCGGCCCCACATCCCGCCCCACTTCTCCCCCCCCCCAGCCCCGTCGGGCTCCTACCGGGTGCGGGTGTAGGGGTAAGCGTTCCAGGACTCCTCCTCCACCTGCAGCGCGGCCTTGGGGAGCAGCGCCCGGAACCAGCTGGGGATGTGGGAGCCCACATGGTAAACCTTGTGCGTGTACTGCCCGCTGCCGCCGGGGCCCTCGCTGTAGGGCCGGTTGGCCAGGATCTCCACGCCGCTGCCCTCGCCGCTCGACTCCTCCCGGCTCTTCTTCTATGGGGGGGGGGGGGGGAATGGAACCCACACGCTGCCCCACAAGCTGCATAGCACCGAGGCCTCGGCTCCTCACCGGGGGTCCTGGGGGCTCCATAGCCCCCTGGACCCATGAGCTTCCCCACCCCAGCACCGGGAGCCCGGCTTGCTTCAGGGGCCCCAAAGCCACCCGAACCTCACCGATAGCTCTGCAGCCTGTCAGGGCCTCGGGGTCAGCCTCAGGGCCCCATGGGCTGTGCTCAGCCCCACAGCCCCCACCCCATGCTCAGCCCCACAGCCTCCCCATGCTCAGCCCCATAGCCCCCCCCCATGCTCAGCTGCATAGACAACCCCATGCCCAGCCCCACAGCCTCCCCATGCTCAGCCCCATAGCCCCCCCCATGCTCAGCTGCATAGACAACCCCATGCCCAGCCCCACAGCCTCCCCATGCTCAGCCGCATAGACACCCCCATGCTCAGCCGTATAGACACCCCAAGCTCAACCCCATAGCCCCCATCATGCCCAGCCCCATAAGCCCCCCCATACTCAGCCCCATAGCCCCCATGCTCAGCACCATAGCCAACCCCCATGCTCAGCAGCACAGCCCCCCCATTGCTCAGCCCCCATAGCTGCCCCATGCTCAGCCCCACATGCTCAGGCCCATACCCCACCATACTCAGCCCCATAGCCCCCCCCATACTCATCACCATAGCCCCTCCCATGCTCAGCCCCATAGCCCACCATTCTCAGCCGCACAGCTCCCCATGCTCAGCCCCACAGCCCCCCCCATGCTTAGCCCCATAGCCCCACATGCTCAGCCCCATAGCCCCCCCCATGCTCAACCCCATAGCCCCCCCATGCTCAGCCTCACAGCCCTCTGCACCACCCGTGGTCCATGCTCAGCCCCATAGCCCTCTGTATCCCTCCATGCTCAGCCCCAGAGCCCCTGCACCCCCCATTGCTCCATGCTGAGCCCCACAGCTCTCGGCACCCCTCACACTCAGCCCCACAGCCCCTGCACCCCCCATTGCTCCATGCTCAGCCCCACAGCTCTCGGCACCCCTCACACTCAGCCCCATAGCCCCTGCACCCCCCCTTGCTCCATGCTCAGCCCCACAGCTCTCGGCACCCCTCACACTCAGCCCCATAGCCCCTACACCCCCCATTGCTCCATGCTCAGCCCCACAGCTCTCGGCACCCCCCATTGCTCCATGCTGAGCCCCACAGCTCTCGGCACCCCTCACACTCAGCCCCACAGCCCCTGCACCCCCCATTGCTCCACGCTCAGCCCCACAGCTCTCGGCACCCCTCACACTCAGCCCCACAGCCCCTGCATCCCCCATTGCTCCATGCTCAGCCCCACAGCTCTCGGCACCCCTCACACTCAGCCCCATAGCCCCTGCACCCCCCATTGCTCCATGCTCAGCCCCACAGCTCTCGGCACCCCTCATGCTCAGCCCCATAGCCCCTACACCCCCCCTTGCTCCATGCTGAGCCCCACAGCTCTCGGCACCCCTCACACTCAGCCCCACAGCCCCTGCATCCCCCATTGCTCCATGCTCAGCCCCACAGCTCTCGGCACCCCTCACACTCAGCCCCATAGCCCCTGCACCCCCCATTGCTCCATGCTGAGCCCCACAGCTCTCGGCACCCCTCACACTCAGCCCCATAGCCCCTGCACCCCCCATTGCTCCATGCTGAGCCCCACAGCTCTCGGCACCCCTCACACTCAGCCCCACAGCTCTCGGCACCCCTCACACTCAGCCCCATAGCCCCTGCATCCCCCATTGCTCCACGCTCAGCCCCACAGCTCTCGGCACCCCTCACGCTCAGCCCCACAGCCCCTACACCCCCCATTGCTCCATGCTCAGCCCCACAGCTCTCGGCACCCCTCACACTCAGCCCCATAGCCCCTGCACCCCCCATTGCTCCATGCTGAGCCCCACAGCTCTCGGCACCCCTCACACTCAGCCCCACAGCTCTCGGCACCCCTCACACTCAGCCCCATAGCCCCTGCACCCCCCATTGCTCCATGCTCAGCCCCACAGCTCTCGGCACCCCTCACACTCAGCCCCATAGCCCCTGCATCCCCCCTTGCTCCATGCTCAGCCCCACAGCTCTCGGCACCCCTCACACTCAGCCCCACAGCCCCCCTCAGACTCAACACCTCAGCCCCCCCTAGCCCGCGCTCCCTACACCCCTCAGGCCCCCGCGCCCGCCATTCCCCACCTGGATCATGTAGAGCTGGGCCACCTGGTACTCGTCCAGGCTCATGGGCAGCAGGATGCGGTACTCCTTGATGAGCATGGCTCCGGGGGGCAGCGCCCGCAGGGCCGCCCGGGACCCGGCCCCCGCTCAGCCCCGCTCCGGCCCGGCCCGGCCCGGCGCCCGCTGCGACGCTCCGGGGCCCGCCCCGCTCCCATGGCAACGCGCCCCCCGCCCGCTCGGCTCCGCCCGCCGCTCTTCGGTACCACTCGGCACTTTTCGGCTCCGCCCCCCCCCCCCCCTTCGGCTCCCTTCGGCTCCCCCCGCCGAACCTGCGCTGCTCCGTGACATCACAGCCCGCCGTGACGTAGTAGGGGGGAGCCGTGACGTCAGAGGCGGGGGAGGAGGCACGGGCAGCACCGAGGCCGCCCCCCCGGGCCCGATCCTGCGGGCAAGGAACGGCCACGACCGGAACCGGCACCGGACGGGGCTTCCCTTAGAACCAGCCCTTGATTTTAGGGCAAAAACCGCGTTTTGCTCATTCCTGCACGGCTCAGACCCCACAGCACCGGGGCACCCCCCAACCCCTGCCCCGGTGCCACCGGTTGCAGCCACCAGGGCACCAAGACCCCTTCTTATCCGTGTGCCCCCCTCACCACCCCGGCTTCCCAACCCCCCCCGCCGGGAGCCACAACCGGAGGCAGAGCCCCAACCACGTCCTTTATTTATAAAAACACGCATTTAGAAAGAGCGGAGAGCGCGGGGGGGGGAGGGGAAGGCCGAGGGCAGCACGGCCGCTCCCCCCCCCTACACCCACCCCCCCCCCCCCACCGCCGCCGTCAGCGGGGCAGGGACACCGGGGCTCCCGGCGGGGGTCCCGGGGGGCAGCAGCCGTTACGTGCGGGCGTTGCGCTCTGTCTCTGCCAGGCACTCCCGGACCAGCGCCCGGGCGTGGATGATGCCTGCGGGGAGAAGCACAAGGGATAAGCGCGCATCAAACCGGGGGGGACAAGACGAGGAGGCACCGGGAGCGGTGGGGAAACGGGGACCCGTCCCCGGTCCTACCGCGCTTCAGCCGCTCCATGGCGCTCTTGCTGCCGGCGTACGTGGGCCGGATCTCCTTCCCCATCTCCTCGATGACGGAGAGCAGGTCGGTGTAGGTGCTCTGCGAGCCCTGAGCCCCGGGGGGCTTCATCGCCTGCGGAGGGGGAAGCACGGAAGGGTGAGGAGCGGCCCCGCTGCCCTCCGTCACCCCGGGGCCAACCCCGCCACCCCCGGCCTCACCTGCACGTAGCCCATGGACGGCGGCCCGAAGTCATTGAAGAGGGGCCGGAAAGCGGCGGCGGCGCCGGGGACGGAACCGGAGGGCGAAGGGACGCTCGTGGCTACGAGAAACGCGGAGTTACCGGTTGCCCCCCGGCCTCCGGTGCCCTCCCCTTCCCTTCCCTTCCTCCGCGGGGCCGCGCTCACCGGCGGGAGGTGCCCCAGGCCCCGGCGGGGCGGGGCTGGCGCTGGCGGCTCCGGGGTTAGCTGGGGCGGGAGCGATGGGCTTGTAGGACATCCCCGACGGCCGCCCGCCGCTCCCGGCGCCCTGCAGCGCGGCGGGGCTCGGTGAGCGGCCCCCGCGCTCCCCCGGCCGGTGCCCGCCGCTCCTCAGCTCAGCTCAGCCCCGGAGCCCCGCGGGCGGGGGGAAGCGGAACCGCGGGGAGCGAGGCCCCGGTGAGCTCTGACCCGACCCGACCCGGCCTCCGCCGGCACCGCCGCTCGCCCTGATGACGCGGGAGGGCGTGCGACGCCGCGCTGACGTCAGCGCGCCGCCTGCCCCGCCCCTTTCCCGGGTCACCGTGGAGACGCGCGGCGTCAGCCCCGCCCCTTTGGGTTTGGGTGGAAAAGAGGCGGAAATGGTTAAAAACGGCCCTAAATCCAGCCCTTAACCCAGCCCTGGCCGCGGCACTGAGGGCCCTCGGCTATGGGGGGCTGAGAGCCTCCCCAGTGCCCAGCCCCGTGCCCAGTCCCTGCCCTGCTCCTGCTGCCGCACTGGTGCTGGTGCAGTACCAGGATGCTGGGGGCTTCTTGGCTGCCTGGGCACAAGCTGCTCCTGCTCAGCTCCAGCAGCTCCTTTCCAGCCTGGAGCGTTCCATGGGGCTGCTGTGGCCCAGGGTGAGGACCCAGCACCGAGCCTGGTTGGATCTCACACCAGTGACCACAACGCAGGGATCCAGCCTGGCCGGATCCTTCTTGCAGAGCCTCCCTATCCTCCCTCCAGCAGATCAACTCCCGCCCTTGGTGTCATGTGAAGTGACTCAGGGTGCCCTCCGTGCCCTCATCCAGATCATCAATGAAGATAGCAAACAGCACTGGCCCCAACCCCAAGTCCTGAGGGCCACCACCAGTGACCTGTCACCAACTGGATGTGACACCTTGGTGTGTCATCCCCCCCACGAGCCCCATGGCCCCAGCAGGGTGATGGGAAAGGATCAGGGATGAGGATCCCCGGTACCGGCCCCACCAGTCCCGGTGCTCCCCCCCCCCGGTAACACCCACCCCACCAGGACAGGCGGTGCCCCACAACTTGTGCCTAAACCCCACACAAAGACAAAGCAGCGGCCACGCAGCTGATTTCTTTTCATTTCAAAAGGGCAAATTTCACCCCCAAGTGCTCCCAGGGCAGGATCCTGCCGCTCCCACACGCTGCTCCCCATCCGCAGTGGAACCGGGATGCTTCATTCCCGGCTTCTTCCCTGCAGGATGTCCCGGTTGAAGCCCTGAGGAACGTCCACCCGGGCCCGGGAAGCAGCGGGATGCCCGGCCCCGGCCACCTCTGGGGTAGGTAACGGGGGACAGGCAGCGGGATAAACCCGGAATCACAGCGTGGGGGGACAGGGTTGGGTGTGGGAGCCAGGGGGAGGCTGGGGGGCTGAGCGGGGAGGGCTTTGGGATGAGCTCAGGGCAGAAAGGGGAACGCTGAGGGCAGAGATGAGGGCGAGAGCAGCCAAAGCCCAGCCCGGTGGCATCCCCGGTGCCCACCGCCACACTGGGACCTCGGCACAAAGCCAAGGATGAGGCTGAGCACCACCGGTGAGGGCCTTGCCCCGGGCTTGGGCACCGGTACCAGCACCGGTACCGGGTGTCTCCGTGGCCCCCTCCTCTTCATAAGGCACGGTGCGGTCCCGTGTTGGCACACGCCGTCCTCAGCGCGACATCATCCGCACAAACTCTGCCAGCGGGGGAATACACACGGAGCATCCCGAGCATCCCTGAGGATGCTCCGGGTCCCACCCCCCCCCACCTTCCCCAGCCCCTCCATCCTACCTTCGAAGTCCACCAGCCCGTCCCCATTGAGATCCACGTCCTTGAGGATCTCGTCCACCTCGCGGTAGTTGAGCTGCTGCCCCAGCAGCTTGCGCATGGCCTCCCGCAGCTCTGCCACGCTGATCTGCCCGTCGCCGTTGGTGTCGAACTGCGGGCGAGCACCCAGGGGTGACGCCGCCCTCGGGGCGCCGCCAGGTTCCCCCGTCCCCCCCCATCCCCATCGCCGTCCCCTCACCTCGCGGAAGGCGTCGCGCAGCTCCTTGATCCCGATCATATCCGCTGTCTCCGCCAGCATCTTGGGGCCCATCAGCTCCACAAAGTCATCGAAATCCACTTTGCCCCCGGCTGTGACAGGAAGGGGGGGAACAGGGCGATGTGGGGCAGGCAGGGTGATGGGGGGCTCCTCCCCCCCCCCCCCCGTGACCCCCCCCACATACTGATCTGCTGGGACAGCTCGATGAGCTCCATCTCGGTGGGCATGTAGCCCATGGTCCGCATGCACTCGCCCAGGTCCTTGTAGCTGATGTAGCCATCGCGATCCTTGTCGAACTCCCGGAACGCCTGCTTCAGCTCTGGGAACACCGTGGGACGTCACCGCACGGCACCGCACGGCGCCCCGCGGCACAGACCCCCAGCACTCACCTTCGATCTCTTCAGGCCGCAGCTCTCGGTCCTGGCATAGGGAGAACACGGCAAGTGCCAACGGAAGGGTCCTTCTCCCACCGCCCCCCCCACCCCGTGCCAGCTCACGTGCGTACCCGCTGGGTGATGGCGATGCTCTGCCGCAGGAAGATGCAGGCCGGCCCCACCAGCCCCTGCAGCACCGAGTAGCCCTGCAACGGGGGGGACTGCGCCGCCTCCGACACCTCCTCGGGGTCCCCGGCACCGGGAGGCACGGGGCCGGAGCGTGGCTTCCCGTCCTGCAGGGACAACACGGGGTCAGCAGCGAGGAGAAAGGGGGGGGGCCTCATCTTCCCCCTGCTCCCACCGCGCACCCAAGGGCCGCCCGTACCTTGGGGAGCCTCCGCTCGGGGGTCTTGGTGCAGTTGCCCATGGCCGGGGCTGCGCCCGCGCCGCAGGGCATGCCCGGCCCCGGGGGGGGGGGGAGAAGGCCCAGGGTTAAGGGGGGGGAGCGGGAGCGGCTGTGCCGGGATTGGAGGTTTTTATGGAATATCTGGGGATATGCAGGGCAGCGGGGGGGGGCCGTGCCCGCGCACACGCATAATCCCCCGGATTATGCCCTGCTCCAGATGTGGGGAGCCGCCCAGCTGTTCCCGGCCCCCCACCCTCCCCACGGGCTCCGGGGCCTCGCCGGTTACCTGCCGGGAAGCGGGGGGCAGCGGGGGCCCCGTCTCCTCGGAGGCCCGATGATGCTCCAGAGGGAAACACGCGCATCCCAAGGCGCTGGCGGTGCCGCGGCTCCGCCGGCCCCCAAACCGTGGGGCCGGGTGGACGCGGCGGCCGCCCTGAGCGCTCTGGGAGCGGTCGGGGGGCGCGGGGCCGCCGGTGCCCCGCCGGGTGGGTGCTCGGAAGAGGAAGAACATGGCAACAGCCGCCGCTGCCCGCCGGTCCCTCTGCCACCCTCGGAGCTTGGCAGGGGGGAAACCGGATCCCCGCGGCCCTGCGCTCGGCCCGGCCCCGCTCCCTCGCCGGGTCGAAGGCAGGGCCGGTGCGGGGGGAACAGGGGCACAGACAGGGCTGCGGCGGGGGCAGAGCGGGCCCGGGGGTACCGCGGGTACCGGGGGGCCCGGTTCGGAGCAACGGAGCCCCCGCAGGGAGCAGGGAGGGGGGCATCGGCACCGGGCGCCCCGGGGGGCACCGGGGGAGGTCGAGCGGCGGCCTCCGGTTACAGCCCGAAACCCGACCCGCGCCCGGGGCACGTGGCGGCGCGGGGCCAGAGTGGCCACGCCCCCTCCCCTAAGCCACGCCCCATCCACGGTCATGTAACCACGCCCCTCCCTCCCTGAGACCACGCCCCCCCCGTAGCCACGCCCCCTGCGCTGCTGTCACCGCTGAGGCGAGCGTCGCGTCGCTGGTTGGTGACGTCACAGCGCGGCGCCGCTACGGGGGCGGCTGAAGGTGACGGTGGTGCCGGTGCCCGCCATGGCCGCCCGGCAGCTGCTGGGCCTGCGCCGCCTGCCCGGGGCCGCGGCCTCCTTCTCGGTGAGAGCCCGCGGCGGTACCGGTACTGCGGCGGGTACCGGTGTTATCGGTGGTACCGGTACTGCGGGGGTTACCGGTGTTATCGGTGGTACCAGTACTGCGGGGGGTACCGGTGTTATCGTTGGTACCGGTACTGCGGTTGGTACCGGTGTTATCAGTGGTACCGGTACTGCGGGGGTTACCGGTGTTATCGGTGCTACCGGTACTGCGGCGGGTACCGGCGTTATCGGTGGTACCGGTACTGCGGCGGGTACCGGTGTTATCGGTGGTACCGGTACTGCGGGGGTTACTGGCATTACCGGTACTGCGGGGGTTACCGGTGTTATCGGTGGTACCGGTACTGTGGGGGTTACCGGTGTTATCGGTGGTACCGGTACTGCGGCGCGTACTGGTGTTATCAGTGCTACCGGTACTGCGGCAGTTACCGGTGTTATCGGTGGTACCGGTACTGCGGCGGGTACCGGTGTTATCGGTGCTACTGGTACTGCAGTGGTTACCGGCGTTACCGGTGCTACTGGTAGTGCGGTGGTTACTGGTGTTATCACTGCCACCGGTACTGCAGTGGTTACCGGTGTTATTGGTGTTACCTGTACTGTGGCTATCGGTGTTACTGGTACTACCGCAGGTACTGGTGTTATTGATGTTACCGGTACTACCTTGGATACCAGTGTTATCGGTGTTACCAGTACTACCGTGGTTACCGGTGTTATCAGTGCTGCCACAGTTACTGGTGTTATCAGTGTGACCGGTAGTACCGTGGTTACCAGTGTTATTGGTGTTACCGGTACTGCCACAGTTACTGTTGTTACCAGTGTTATCAGTACTACCAGTACTGCTGCAGTTACCGGTGTTACTGGTGTTATCGGTTCTTCCACAGTTACCAGTGTTATCAATGTTATCGGTGTTACCGGTACTGCCGCAGTTACCGGGGTTATCAATGTTATCGGTGTTACCAGTACTGCCGCAGTTACCGGTGTTATCGATGTTATCGATGTTACCAGTACTGCTGCAGTTACCGGTGTTACTGGTGTTATCGGTTCTTCCACAGTTACCAGTGTTACCAATGTTATCGGTGTTACCGGTACTGCCGCAGTTAGCGGTGTTATCGATGTTATCGGTGTTACCAGTACTGCCGCAGTTACCGGTACTGCCGCAGTTACCGGTGTTATCGGTGTTACTGGTACTGCTGCAGTTACCGGTGTTACCAGTGTTATCGGTGTTATTGGTCTTACCGGTACTTTCGCAGTTACTGGTGTTATTGGTGGTACCGGTGTTATCGGTGTTACCGGTACTGTCATAGTTACCGGTGTTACCGGTACGTGTCTCCCCGCAGACAGCACCCAAGAAGACGCAGTTCGGGTCGCTGAAGGATGAGGACCGCATCTTCACCAACCTCTATGGGCGGCACGACTGGAGGTGAGGACCGGGGGTCGGTGGGTGGGGGGCTGGATCCCGGTGCTGGTCCCGGTGCCACCGGCCGTGCCGCTCCGCAGACTGCAGGGCGCGCTGCGCCGCGGGGACTGGTACAAGACCAAGGAGATCCTGCTCAAGGGCGTCGATTGGATCCTCGCCGAGATCAAGGCCTCGGGGCTGCGCGGCCGCGGCGGCGCCGGCTTCCCCACGGGCCTCAAGTGGAGCTTCATGAACAAACCCCCCGATGGGAGGTGAGAGCCGGGACCGGCGCCAGCGGGCCCCTGCCCTTGTGCGGAGCACGGGGGTGATGGCGCCCGCCCCATCCAGACCCAAGTACCTGGTGGTGAACGCGGACGAGGGGGAGCCCGGCACGTGCAAGGACCGGGAGATCATGCGCCACGACCCGCACAAGCTGCTGGAGGGCTGCCTGGTGGCCGGGCGGGCCATGGGCGCCCGCGCTGCCTACATCTACATCCGCGGCGAGTTCTACAACGAGGCCTCCAACCTGCAGGTGAGGGCTGGGGGCACTGGGGGGGTGGGCAAGGAGGGGAGCCCCCCCCTGGCAGCCACGCGAGCCCGCTCTCTGCTGCAGGTGGCCCTGAGGGAGGCCTATGAAGCCGGGCTGCTGGGGGGGGACGCCTGTGGGTCCGGGTACGCCTTTGATGTCTTCGTGGTGAGGGGCGCTGGAGCCTACATCTGCGGGGAGGAGACGGCGCTGATCGAGTCCATTGAGGGCAAGCAGGGCAAGCCCCGGCTGAAACCACCCTTCCCTGCTGATGTGGGTACGGCGCTGGATGCTCCTAGGATCATGGGATGGGGTGGGATGAAGGGAGCTTAAAACTCCTCCAGCTCCAACCTCTTCCACTGGAGCAGCTTGCTCCAAGCCCCCGTGTCCGACCCGGCCTGAAGCGCGGCCAGGGATGGGGCGTTCCGGTGCCGGTGCCACCGTCGTGCTCTGCCCTCCTCCAGGTGTCTTCGGCTGCCCCACCACGGTGGCCAACGTGGAGACGGTGGCCGTGTCCCCCACCATCTGCCGCCGCGGCGGGGCCTGGTTCGCCAGCTTCGGCCGGGAGCGCAACTCGGGGACGAAGCTCTTCAACATCTCCGGCCACGTCAACAGCCCCTGCACGGTGGAGGAGGAGATGTCGGTGCCGCTGAAGGAGCTCATTGAGAAGCACGCGGGTAGGTGGCACAGGGCACGCCGGCGCCGGGCCCCCTTTGGGTCTCTCTGACCCCTTGTTTTTCGGCAGGGGGGGTCCGGGGGGGCTGGGACAACCTCCTGGCCGTCATCCCGGGGGGCTCGTCCACGCCGCTGCTCCCCAAGTCCGTGTGCGAGACGGTGCTCATGGACTTCGACGCCCTGGTGCAGGCGCAGAGCGGGCTGGGCACGGCCGCTGTCATCGTCATGGATAAATCAGTAAGGGAGCAGCCCCTTCTTTGTGCCTTCCCCCCAACCCCAGTGTCACAGCAGCGCCTTCACCCTCCTCTTCCTCCCCAGACCGACGTCGTCAAAGCCATCGCTCGCCTCATCGAGTTCTACAAGCACGAGAGCTGCGGGCAGTGCACGCCGTGCCGGGAGGGTGAGCCGTGGGGCAGGGGGCGAGGGGCACGGAGCCGTGGGGCAGGGTGTGGGTCACACCCACCCCCCCAACTCAACCCTCACGCCCTCCCCATCCCCGCAGGTGTGGACTGGATGAACAAGGTGATGGCTCGCTTCGTGCAGGGCAACGCGCAGGCGGCCGAGATCGACGCGCTCTGGGAGATCAGCAAACAGATCGAGGGCCACACCATCTGCGCCCTGGGCGACGGCGCCGCCTGGCCGGTGCAGGTGGGGGGAGCACTTGTGGGGCAGATGTGGGGCGGGGGGGTTGGTGGGAGTTGTTTCCCCACCCCATTAACCCTGCTCTGCTCAGGGCCTCATCCGCCACTTCCGACCCGAGCTGGAGGAGAGGATGCGGCGCTATGGGGAGGCCAAAGCCCGAGCGGCATCAGCGTAAGGCTGGGGGGGGGGGTGTTCTGCTGCTCCCTGCCTGGGTGGGGGTCAGAGCAGCTTGTGGGGCTCAATAAACGCTGCTGTGCTCGTGGGGCCTCTCCCTGCTTGAAGAGAGCAGCAGGAGGCGGTTGTGGGTCGGAAGTGTGGGAAGGGAGCAGTGGGGAGGGGCGCTGGGTCCTGCCTCTCTGGGAGCAGGGAATCTCTTAAGAGATCCCCAAGGATCAGCCCCATGGCCTCTCTATGGGGTAGGACATGGGGCAGCACCAAGCAGCCAGGGTGTTGCATGGCCCCAGGGCCAGCACCGCGGTGGCACCGCTGTTGCTCCTGCCGGTGCCAAGGGGCACAGCTCCGTGTCCTGTCCCCCCCCATGGTGCTGGCGCTGATGCCCATGGCACGAGCACTTCCAAACATGGCTTTTTACTCAGTCACAGTGTTCCACGATGGGCAGCAGCACCCACGGGGTAGGGGGGCAGCCCCATCGCCGCGGCCCAAAGAACCGCACAACCGCGGTGCCGCCGCGGCGTCAGGCGGAGCGGTGCCGGCCCGGCACCACGGTCTTGCTGCGGTAGCGCTCGGGCGCCAGGAGCTCCAGGGTCAGCTCGGTGATGATGGCCGTGAGCCCCCAGACCTTGTGGGGCCCGTTGAGGAACACGGGCAGGGTGTAGCCGTAGCGGCCGGCGGTGCGGAAGTGGGTGTAGCCCTGGTTCTCCTCCCGCAGGAGGTGAGCCAGGGGCAGGGTGAAGACCTCCGCTACCTGCGGCACAGGCGGGGGGGTGCCGGTGGTGGCACCGGGGGGGGGGGGGGCAGGACCGGGGCAGGGGGTGCTGCTCACGGGGCCGGTGCGGGGTCACCCACCTCGTCCGGGTTGGGAGCCAGCGTCAGCTTCTCCAGAGGACCCAGGTTGGCCACCACGGGGGCCACCGTCAGCCCCTGCTGCAGGGGGGGTCAGCGAGGGGTGGGGAGGTGGAACCCTGGCCCCAGAGTGCTGCCTGTGAGCCCCCTCCGTCCCTATGGTGTCATTGGTGACCCCCCCATCCCCATGGTGCCACCGGTGACGACTCCATCCCCGTAGTGCCACTGGTGACACCCCCTCCATCCCTATGGTGTCATTGGTGACCCCCCCATCCCCATGGTGCCACTGGTGACCCCCCCGTCCCTATAGTGTCATTGGTGACCCCCCATCCCCGTAGTGCCACTGGTGCCCCCTGTCCCCATAGTGCCATTGGTGGCTCCCCTGTCCCCAAAGTGCCATTGGTGACCCCCCCATCCCCACAGTGCCACCCATGACCCCTTGCATCCCACATGGGCACCCATCACGTGCCTGTCACCCAAATCTGCCTGCAGCCAGTGCCCTGTGTCCCTCTTACCCATATCCCAGTCACCCTGTGTGTGTCACCCGTGTTCCACCCCATATCCCTATAACCCATATACCTATAACCCCATATCCCTATAACTCAAGTCCTTGCCACCCCATGTCCATGTCCCACCCCATATCCCTGTCACGCTGTGTCTGTGTCACCTGTGTCCCACCCCATATCCTTATAACCCCATATCCCTATAACCCGAGTCCTTGCCACCCCGTGTCCATGTCCCACCCCATATCCCTATAAACCCACATCCCTATAACCCATATCCCTATAACCCCACATCCCTATAACCCCAGTCCTTGCCACCCCATGTCCATGTCCCACCCCATATCCCTATAACCCAAGTCCTTGCCACCCCATGTCCATGTCCCACCCCATATCCCTGTCACCCTGTGTCTGTGTCACCTGTGTCCCACCCCATATCCCTATAACCCCATATCCCTATAACCCATATCCCTATAACCCCACATCCCTATAACCCCAGTCCTTGCCACCCCATGTCCCTATAACCCCACATCCCTATAACTCCAGTCCTTGCCACCCCGTGTCCATGTCCCACCCCATATCCCTATAACCCCATATCCCTATAACTCCAGTCCTTGCCACCCCGTGTCCATGTCCCACCCCATATCCCTATAACCCCATATCCCTATAACTCAAGTCCTTGCCACCCCGTGTCCATGTCCCACCCCATATCCCTGTCACGCTGTGTCTGTGTCACCTATGTCCCACCCCATATCCCTATAAACCCATATCCCTATAACCCATGTCCCTATAACCCACATCCCTATAACCCCACATCCCTATAACCCCAGTCCTTGCCACCCCATGTCCCTGTCCCCCCGTGCCCGTGTCCCCCCCTACCCTCCCCACCCCATGTCCCTGCCCTAATGCCCTCGTCCCCTGTGTGTCCTTGTCCCGTCTCCGGTGCCCGGTACCCGGTCCGGCAGGGTCCGCAGCTGCCCCCACACGCTCGGCTCCCCCAGCGCCAGCCCCAGCTCCTCCCGCGTCTCCCGCAGCGCCGTGGCCACCGCGTCTCCGTCCGCCGGGTCCCGCCGCCCCCCGGGGAAGCTGCAAGACCCAAAGGGAGAAGGAGGGAGCGGGAGGGGGGGGGGGGGGGGGTGTTTAAGGCTCCGGTTCCCGGTGCTCGGTGCCCGGTGCCGGTACCTGACATCGCCGCTGTGGGGCCCGCCCAGGCTGCGGGAGCGCAGCGTGAAGAGCATCGCGGGCCGGCCCCGCACCGAGCACAGCGGCACCAGCACCGCGGCCGCCGCTGCCCCCCCGCGCCCCGCAGCCGCCGCCAACCGCGCCCGGCACCGCCGCTCGCTGCCGCTGCTCAGCAGAGCCCCGGGGTCCCCCGCGCCCGGCTCCGCCATGGCGGCACCGAGCGGGGCGGGGAGGACGTCCGGGACCGGCCCCTTCCCGACCGGCCCCACGGACCGCCCCCATGGGGCTGGCCCCGAGCGCAGCGGCAGCCGGCGGCACGGAAACGGCGCCTGAAGGGTGCGAAACGGCTCCTGACGGGAGGGAAACGGCTCCTAACGGGAGGGAAACGGCTCCTAACGGGAGGGAAACGGCTCCTAACGGGTGGAAACGGCTCCTAACGGGAGGGAAACGGCTCCTAACGGGTGGAAACGGCTCCTGACGGGAGGGAAACGGCTCCTAACGGGTGGAAACGGCTCCTGACAGAGGGAAACGGCTCCTAACGGGAGGGGAACAGTTCCTAACGGGTGTAAACGGCTCCTGACGGGAGGGAAACGGCTCCTAACGGGTGTAAACGGCTCCTGACGGGAGGGAAACGGCTCCTAACGGGTGGAAACGGCTCCTAACGGGTGGAAACGGCTCCTAACCGGTGGAAACGGCTCCTGACGGGAGGGAAACGGCTCCTAACGGGTGGAAACGGCTCCTGACGGAGGGAAACGGCTCCTAACGGGAGGGGAACAGTTCCAAACGGGTGTAAACGGCTCCTGACGGGAGGGAAACGGCTCCTAACGGGTGTAAACGGCTCCTAACGGGAGGGGAACAGTTCCTAACGGGTGGAAACGGCTCCTGACGGGAGGGAAACGGTTCCTAACGGGTGCGAAACGGCTCCTAAAGGGTGTAAACGGCTCCTGACGGGAGGGAAACGGCTCCTGACGGGTGTAAACGGCTCCTGACGGGAGGGAAACGGCTCCTAACGGGTGGAAACGGCTCCTAACGGGAGGGGAACAGTTCCTAACGGGTGGAAACGGCTCCTGACGGGAGGGAAACGGTTCCTAACGGGTGTAAACGGCTCCTAACGGGAGGGGAACAGTTCCTAACGGGTGGAAACGGCTCCTGACGGGAGGGAAACGGTTCCTAACGGGTGGAAACGGCTCCTGACGGGAGGGAAACGGCTCCTGAAGGGTGCGAAACGGCTCCTAAAGGGTGTAAACGGCTCCTGACGGGAGGGAAACGGCTCCTGACGGGTGTAAACGGCTCCTGACGGGAGGGAAACGGCTCCTAACGGGTGGAAACGGCTCCTGACGGGAGGGAAACGGCTCCTAACGGGTGTAAACTGCTCCTAACGGGAGGGGAACAGTTCCTAACGGGTGTAAACGGCTCCTGACGGGAGGGAAACGGTTCCTAACGGGTGTAAACGGCTCCTGACGGGTGTAAACGGCTCCTAACGGGAGGGGAACAGTTCCTAACGGGTGTAAACGGCTCCTGAAGGGTGCGAAACGGCTCCTAACGGGTGTAAACGGCTCCTGACGGGAGGGAAACGGCTCCTAACGGGTGTAAACGGCTCCTGACGGGAGGGGAACGGCTCCTAAAGGGTGGAAACGGCTCCTGACGGGAGGGAAACGGCTCCTAACGGGTGGAAACGGCTCCTGACAGAGGGAAACGGCTCCTAACGGGAGGGGAACAGTTCCTAACGGGTGTAAACGGCTCCTGACGGGAGGGAAACGGCTCCTAACGGGTGTAAACTGCTCCTAACGGGAGGGGAACAGTTCCTAACGGGTGTAAACGGCTCCTGACGGGAGGGAAACGGTTCCTAACGGGTGTAAACGGCTCCTGACGGGTGTAAACGGCTCCTAACGGGAGGGGAACAGTTCCTAACGGGTGGAAACGGCTCCTAACGGGTGGAAACGGCTCCTGACGGGAGGGAAACGGCTCCTAACGGGTGTAAACGGCTCCTGACGGGAGGGAAACGGCTCCTAACGGGTGGAAACGGCTCCTGACGGAGGGAAACGGCTCCTAACGGGAGGGGAACAGTTCCAAACGGGTGTAAACGGCTCCTGACGGGAGGGAAACGGCTCCTAACGGGTGTAAACGGCTCCTAACGGGAGGGGAACAGTTCCTAACGGGTGTAAACGGCTCCTGACGGGAGGGAAACGGTTCCTAACGGGTGTAAACGGCTCCTAACGGGAGGGGAACAGTTCCTAACGGGTGGAAACGGCTCCTGACGGGAGGGAAACGGTTCCTAACGGGTGGAAACGGCTCCTGACGGGAGGGAAACGGCTCCTAACGGGTGGAAACGGCTCCTGACGGGAGGGAAACGGCTCCTAACGGGTGTAAACTGCTCCTAACGGGAGGGGAACAGTTCCTAACGGGTGTAAACGGCTCCTGACGGGAGGGAAACGGTTCCTAACGGGTGTAAACGGCTCCTGACGGGTGTAAACGGCTCCTAACGGGAGGGGAACAGTTCCTAACGGGTGTAAACGGCTCCTGAAGGGTGCGAAACGGCTCCTAACGGGTGTAAACGGCTCCTGACGGGAGGGAAACGGCTCCTAACGGGTGGAAACGGCTCCTGACGGGAGGGGAACGGCTCCTAACGGGTGTAAACGGCTCCTGACGGGAGGGAAACGGCTCCTAAAGGGTGTAAACGGCTCCTGACGGGAGGGAAACGGCTCCTAAAGGGTGTAAACGGCTCCTGACGGGAGGGAAACGGCTCCTAACGGGAGGGGAACAGTTCCTAACGGGTGTAAACGGCTCCTGACGGGAGGGAAACGGCTCCTAACGGGTGTAAACGGCTCCTGACGGGAGGGAAACGGCTCCTAAAGGGTGGAAACGGCTCCTGACGGGAGGGAAACGGCTCCTAAAGGGTGTAAACGGCTCCTAACGGGCGTGAAACAGCTCCTAACGGGAAGGAAATGGCTCCTAAAAGGTGTAAACGGCTCCTAACGGGAGGGAAACAGCACCTAAAGGCTGCGAAACGGCTCCTAACGGGAGGGAAACAGCTCCTAACGGGTGTAAACGGCTCCTAACGGGAGGGAAACGGCTCCTGACGGGAGGGAAACAGCACCTAAAGGCTGCGAAACGGCTCCTGACGGGAGGGATAAAGGCTCCTAAAGGGTGTAAACAGCTCCTAACGGGAGGGAAACAGCACCTAAAGGGTGCGAAACAGCTCCTAACGGGAGGGGAACAGCTCCTAAATGGTGCAGACGGCTCCTAAGGGGAGGGAAGCAGCTCCTAACGGGAGGGCAGCCCCATTACTGGGCGTGCAACAGCCCCCAGTGGGTGTGTGCCGGTCCCTAATGGGCGTTCAACAGCCCCCAATGGGTGTGCAACCCGCTCACTGGGGGTACTCCCGGAACAGGTAACAGCCCCTAAGGGGTGGGCAATGTCCCCTAACGGGCATATGGCAAACCCTACAGGGTGTTCAACAGCTCCTAATGGGTGTGCAAGGACCCCTAACGTGTGTGTAACAGCCCCAAGGGGTGTGCAACAACCCCTCATGGGTGGGCAACAGCCCCCAATGGATGTGGAACCCTGTTACCAGGTGTGTAACACCCAACACCCCCCCGGGTGTGCAGACCTCTGCCTGGGTGCCCAACAGCCCCCAGCGGTTGTCCAAGCCCTGCTCTGGGTGTGTAACCCCCTCCCCAGCTTCGCACGCAGACCCATGGCGTGCACCCCCCATTGCAGCTCACAACCCCATCATCGGGTGTACAACACCCCTCCCACACACACACCCCACACCTCAACCCACAGCCGGGATGTGCCCCCCTCGTACCGGGGTCTGAGGGTGCTGTGCCCCCCACCCCGTGTCCATGGATGCTGGAGCCTGGGACCACCACCGGTGGGATGGATCCCACCTCATCACCCCGCAGTGGTACCGAGCGTCCCCAACCCGTGCAGCCCGGCAGGGTGACACGGGTACAGCCGCTCCTTCGCCAGCGGGTGACAGCTCCGGCTGTCGCCATCCCATCAGGGGGATTCCCTCTGTGGAAACAGCCTCAAGGCTCTGGGATGGAACCACGGGCAGCAGCAGCAGCAGCAGGAGGAGGACAGGGATTGCTCCCAGTGGATTTACCAGCTTCACCACCACCGCGTTGAGGTGAGGGACACACACAGGCACCAGAGCCTGCGGGGGGGACACACGGGGACAGCATCGGAGCGCTGAGGAAGGGGCGGAGAAACAGCAGGGAACAGGGAATGGAAGGGACGGGGAACGGCGGTCCCGGTGACAAAGACCCCGCGCATCCACCGGCACCTCGGAGCACGGACTTGGTGTTAAAAAACTGTATATAGAAATCACCACTCAACGGGAATCCTTCTGCCTGGGACCCCTGGAATTCCTGGCTCCCGGCCTCAGCGGAACCTCCTCTCGTCCCACACGTACCGCTTCCCAGCGGGCACCTTCCGGAAGAACAGCGTGTTCCCTCGGCTCATGTTGCCCTGCAATGGGGGTGATGAGTGGGGCTGGGCACCCGCATGGATCTGCCCCACGGCTGGAAGCCATCCCGGTTCGGGGCACTCACCTCCCTGCGGAGCTGGCTCCAGCAATCCAGCCAGGATGAGTAGGTGGGTGCGTAGGGAAGGAGGCCCCCAGCGAGCCTGTGCAAGGGGAGAGACCCACGGGGTTCAACCAGGCTCGGTGCTGGGTCCTCACCCTGGGCCACAGCAGCCCCATGGAACGCTCCAGGCTGGAAAGGAGCTGCTGGAGCTGAGCAGGAGCAGCTTGTGCCCAGGCAGCCAAGAAGCCCCCAGCATCCTGGTACTGCACCAGCACCAGTGCGGCAGCAGGAGCAGGGCAGGGACTGGGCACGGGGCTGGGCACTGGGGAGGCTGCACCTCGAATCCTGTGCTCAGCTCTGGGCCCCTCACTGCAAGAGAGACCTTGAGGTGCTGGAGCGGGGCCAGAGAAGGGAACGGAGCTGGAGCAGGGCCTGGAGCCCAAGTGTGATGGGGAAGGGCTGAGGGACCTGGGGGGTTCAGTGTGGAGAAGAGAAGGCTCAGGGGGGACCTGATGGCTGCCTCCAAGTGCCTGAGAGGAGGATGGAGCCAGGAGGGGCTGGGCTCTGCTCCAAGGAACAAGGGATGGGACAAGAGGAAACGGCCTCAAGCTGCACCAGGGCAGGTTTAGATGGAGCTGAGGAACAATTCCTGCCCCAGAGGGTGCTCAGGCATTGGA